CAAGTGCATGACTTTAACACTGTATCAACCGTAATGCTGGTGAGCTGTACCCTAACACTTCCCAACCTGGGTGTGTGTACACTGTGCATTGTCGAAGTTTCCATGACGTTTTTATTACGTCTTAGCGGACTCGGAGCTCTTCGAATCGCAATTACTCACAAACTCGCTTTCATTTTCCATTTAATTAATTATTATTATTTTGTAATTTTATAGAAATTCCTTTTACTTCTCCACCGCCCGCCAGCCTCACTCAACTCTGCTTTGCTCTTTAATTTTCTCTCCGTCTTTCCGTCACTTTCCCGAGAAAATCTCAATCATCCATCATGAAGGCCCTCGCGGCCACCGCCACCGACATTCTAAAGACCCCGACTTTCATCAAAATTACGGCCATTACCCTCCTCTCCCTCTCCCTCTTCCTACTCGCCAACCACTACTCTGCTACCTATCCTTCCCTCACCTTCTTCTCCTCTTCCACCACCACAACAACCTCCGCGCCGTCTCCATCTCTCGCCTCGTCTTCGCCGGAGTTGCCGGAGTTGCCTCCGCCGACGCCTCCGGCAGCTCCATCTCCTCCTCCGCCATCGCCTCCTCCACCGCCGGAGGTCGAGAGGATGGGGATAGTGGACGATAACGGCGCGATGTCGGAGGAGTTCGAGATCGGCGAGTTTGACCCGAGCCTGGTCGAGGATTTGAGGAATGTCAGTGGAGGAGAGGAGAGATTGGACGACGGCGGCGGCGTAGGCGGCGGCGGCGCTAGATTCAAGGTTGATAAGTTTGAGGTGTGTGATGAAAGCATGACTGATTATATACCGTGTTTGGATAATGTGGAGGAGATTGAGAAGTTAAATTCGAGTGAGAGAGGGGAAAAGTACGAGAGGCATTGTCCTGGGCAAGGCAAGGGGTTGAATTGCGTGGTGCCGAGGCCGAAAGGGTACCAGATACGAATACACTGGCCTCAGAGCAGGGACGAGGTAATTTGGATTGAAATGTGTGAACTTTGATTTCTGTTTTTGGTAAAGTTGTTTGCTTTATTTGAATTGGTTTGAGTGTTGCTGTTCCTGATACATTGAATTTTGTTATGTATGTGAAAATTCAGCAATTGATATCAACTATTAAATTTCAATGATAAAGAGCTAGCTTAGGCATGTCAGGATAGGGGACAAGTGAAGTGTGTCATTGTTAGTGTAGAAATGTGGATGGAGACAGAATTTTCGTTGGGAATGGTTTTGAAATTTAGATGGAAGACTTTGAAAAGTGATGATGGCAATATGCTGTTCTCCTTCTCTTAACTTTAAGCTGTAGGATTGGCAGAAGTTGGTCCCTTGTTTTTAGAATGTAAAAAGATGAGAAATAATGAACCAATAGTTCTGATTTCTTTCTTTTTTTGTTGGTTTTTTTTCATTCATGGTTATCTATTTTCTGAAGCTTTATATCCCCAGTTGCTTTCAATGTTACGTAAACTGGTAACAATTGGTAACATCCCTTTGTAGAGCAGTTTTCTGGGTCACTACTGAAAACTCCTTAAAAAAGATTTTTCCTTCTGTAGCTCTTAACGTATAGCATATTACCGTTTCACCTGGTTTGAGAAAGAATGAGTGTTCTTATGTGCTAACAATAGATATGATAACAGGTGTGGTTCAGTAATGTACCCCACACTCGACTTGTTGACGATAAAGGTGGTCAGAATTGGATAAGGGTAAAGAAAGATAAATTCATTTTTCCAGGAGGTGGAACACAGTTTATTCATGGGGCAGATCAGTACTTGAATCAGATTTCACAGGTTTGTCCCTTGCCCAATTCTCATAAAGTATTTGCATGTTTTTACATGATATTGATTACCACCTCTTACATGGACTGAGCAGATGGTTCCTGACATTGCATTTGGCTACAAAACCCGAGTGTCCTTAGATATTGGCTGTGGAGTTGCTAGTTTTGGTGCCTTTTTGATGCAACGGAATGTGACCACTATGTCAATAGCACCAAAAGATGTTCATGAGAATCAGATCCAGTTTGCACTAGAGCGTGGTGTGCCTGCAATGGTGGCAGTATTTGCTACTCACCGCTTGTTGTATCCAAGCCAGGCTTTTGACTTGATCCATTGTTCAAGATGTAGAATTAATTGGACCCGTGATGGTAATCCGTTTCTCTCTTGGACATTTTATGGCATATTCCTACATATGTGTAATGCATTTGATACTTGTTGTCAAAAGCTCTTTGACTCTAAGAATCCTTTTTTTCTTTTGATTATGTGATGAAGATGGAATTTTGCTTCTCGAGGCTGACAGGTTGCTAAGAGCAGGAGGATACTTTGTCTGGGCAGCACAGCCCGTTTACAAACATGAAGAAGCCCTACAAGAACAATGGAAAGGTAGCTCATTATGCAATATTTATTGTAGGTTCACAGCCTGTTTATCTTTCTCTACAATTTGAAAAGTCTGGTCAGATATTTTCTGTATCGTTCTTTTACATTAGCATTAGTGTCATCTTCTCTGATATTTGACAACAACAAAAAATTATTGTTATATTCTTGATGTTGGAGCACTCGAATTAATACTTGTTTATCTATTTACAGAAATGGAGAACCTGACTACTCGCCTTTGTTGGGAGCTTGTAAAGAAGGAAGGATATATTGCTATATGGCAGAAGCCTTTGAACAACAGCTGTTATCTTAGTCGCGATGCTGGAGTGCTGCCTCCATTATGTGATTCAAATGATGATCCAGATGATGTTTGGTAAGTCCTACTTCAAAGTTTAAAGTTTTCTTGGTTTAGAAGCATTCTTCAAATATCAATCCGTGTTAATTGTCAAACTCTTAAAACAATCTTCTATTCCATCTGATAAGTTATGTAACTTTTGACTTTATGGTTTCATTTCAATAGTTTGTCTATGTTGTTCTGTTGGACCCTTGTCCTGTTGACTTGGTGACCATAATCTTGCATATTTCCCGAGGGGCAATGCAACCTTGTGTCATGTGGCATTAAGGGAGAGTTGATTTAAATTTGCTTGAACCAAAAGGCTTTCGGCATGTATAAAAAGCTTTTGGAGGAAAAAAAATGTCAAAACATGATGATTTATCTAACTTGATTGAGCTTTACATCTGAAGCTAACACTTTGAATATGAGGTCTTCTCCACGCACATACACAAGGCTGGAGAATTTAACAAGAACATTGTAATAATGCTTCTTCTAGTCTCATTGTTGGGTATACTCCATCCAAATTTGATATCTCACCACAAGATCACGAGCCCTACCTAGATGCAGAGTATGAAATAAAGTATACATATATCATAACCACTGTAACCCTAAGTAATACTTTTTTTTTGCAGGTATGTTGGTTTAAAGGCTTGCATCACTCGATTACCTGAGAATGGTTATGGAGCTAATGTTAGTACATGGCCCGCATGTCTTCAAGATCCACCAGATAGACTCCAGAGCATAAAGCTAGATGCGTACATATCTAGAAAGGAAATCTTCAGGGCAGAGGCAAAGTACTGGCATGAAATATTAGCTGGTTACATTGGTGCTTACCATTGGAGAGAATTAAACTTTAGAAACATAATGGACATGAGGGCTGGATATGGAGGGTATATCTTCAAATAATTCATTCTACACAAACCATAAATCTTTACCTATTTTCAATGTTATTTCAACTTGCAAAAGAAAGAGATGGAAATCATTTTTATATTGGCAGGTTTGCAGCAGCATTGCAAGATTATGGGTTGGATTGTTGGGTTATGAACGTTGTTCCTGTTTCAGGGTTCAATACTTTGCCAGTTATATATGACCGCGGACTTATTGGAGTTATGCATGACTGGTTGGGCAATACACCTTCTGATTTCTGTTTTTGACCATCTATGTGTTACTAAATCTGTTGGACTTTGTCATGATGCTCAAATTTATGTTCCTTAGGTGTGAACCATTTGACACTTATCCGAGAACATACGACTTACTGCATGCAGCGGGTCTCTTCTCTGTTGAGCAAAAGAGGTATAAATTTGCACTGTTGTTTGAGCCTATTTTATCTATTTGTTGGTGAGACTTCATGTGATGTAGAGTACATTGATTTCCTACTGACGTGTTTGTGTTGTGCACAGGTGTAATATCTCAACCATCGTGCTTGAAATGGATCGAATGCTGAGGCCTGGCGGACGTGTTTACATACGTGACTCTGTATCTGTAATTGCTGAGCTTCAAGAACTTGCAAGTGCTGTTGGATGGGTGCCTGCGCTGCATGACACAGGAGAAGGACCTCATGCAAGCTGGAAGATCTTGATTGGTGACAAGCGTTTGTGATCTGATTTGGGTGCAAACTTGTCGATGTATTTTTCTGTAAAAGGGTATGAAATCACACCATAGAAAAGAAGGCACTACAACAGCAACTAACATATTGCACTTGTTTTATGCTCTGTAATTTGAAGACTAGCTAGTGCAATCTCTTTTTTCATTTTTTATATATATATTTTTCTTAGTATATCCAAATGCACAGCAATAGGATGGTTAAATGTGCATAACTTAACACTAATACCATGATATTATAAAGTGTTGTTTTTGTAACCTTTGTTCCTAAAATTTGTGCACAACATAGGCTTGATGGCCTTCATTCAATAGACTTAACCAAAACCCATAATCATTTCCCTCTTTGAAAACCTATGGCAATGGCAACAGTGGCGGGGATGGCAGAGGGTATTCGGGCCACCCGATTTGATGAAGGCCGTAGAAGTAGTTATTGAAAATGATGGCTTGGTTTCATCGTACAAGGTTGTGAAGATCACTTGAAATGCATCAAACTGCACTTTATTCCTCACGCAACCGATAATATCTTATGGGCTGTGGATATACACAAGTAACTGAGGAATGAACCTCGACTGCTGCTAACCTCAAACTCCGCAGAAGCAGAACCCTTGTGCTCTGCTGCAGCCTGTATGGAGAGAGAAGCTTCATGGATTTCGAAAACTGAAAAATTGCACACATCGTATGCAGTTTAGGGAGAGATAAGCTGATTCAGTCATAATCCGGAACCTCATCATTATCCCAATTATATTTGGGAGGATACGAAGCCGAAGAACCCTTCTGTGCTGCTGCTTTATTAACCTGTTTGGAGAGATAAGCTTCATAGATTTCGAATAAAAGTTGTGGATCTTTCTCCTTCAGCTCATCGTACTCCTCCCGGGCAGTAAGCTTGTCCATGTTGTCTATGATCAGCGTCAAGGCTGCGTCGATGATCTTCTTGGCGTTATGCTGGTGCACGAAGGTGTAGGTCGAAAAAGAATTCTCCCAGTTGAGGTTGGCCACCAAGAACTTCTGGCACAAATCTTTGAGATGGAGCACCTGGTATTTTTCAGCCATTACTAGGAGGTCACAGGCCAATTGCTGGTCAAGGCATACCACCTCAGCTGTGTAGAGGTAGTTGACAAAGGCACGAAGGGTGCCGTAGGACACATCGCGGATCTTGATGGTGCCACTCAAGCTTTCTTCCATCTCATTCTTAAGCATGGCATTGAACACCGGAGAACGGCTCACCTGATCCAGTGCCGGTCAAAATACATACATAATATTTAAGAGGAATTCAAAGTGTGCAATAATTATATTTTCCCAGGAACATATTAATTTTGTGAACAGTACTAGTAGCTGACCAGGGGAGAGAAAATGAACCTAGACAAATTAAAAAAGAAAAAAGAAAAAAAAGAAAAAGGACTAGAATTGTTGGAGAACCAAAGCATTATACGGGAGCCAAATAATTATAATAACCCTTTAGCCATTTCAAGTCAAATTTGGCTAAGTTTTGGCTAACTTTGCCGGCGAGTCTGGGAATGAAGACGTAAAACCACAATATATTTGACTAAAATACTTGAATTCATGAAAAAGATAAAAGATAAAATACTCCAGATGACAAATCACGTTTATTGATAAATCATTCCTCCGTTTAAAACACGTTTGCAAATATGGAGGTGTAAAAGTAAAGTTGCAGACGAGTTACAATGAGCCCTCCCTTGTACTCAAGTTTGATCCCCTCTTTAAAGAATATAGAAAATTATTGATTCACCCTAGCAAACTTACCATACTGATATTATAAGTAAACTACTATTTATGGTCCGGATTTGTCAAACACATGTATGCCTATTTTACCCTATAAAACTTTTTATTTTATCAACGAATGCTGCTATTTCCACTCACCTGTTCTATTTTCCAACTCACCTTATCTTCCCACCCACTATATAATTTGACAAAACACAATCTTATCTTTCCACCCACCATTATTCCTAAAATACCCTTAAATTATTAATTCAAGTAAGTCTAAGTTAAAGAGGTCTGTTAACTAGTGATGTCATTTATTGTACAATGAATTCGGATTATTTGTTCTTAGTTTTTTCAAATGTTTCTTCCAAAAGCTATGAAAACCATGTTAAAAACTAAGAACAAATGGTCTGAATCTTTGTATGTTTATAAACCACCAAGATCTCACCCTTTCTTGCACTTTAGTTTCACAAACAATTGAACTTCTCACTATTTACGGGTGATTTATATTTCTTTTAAAACAATTTTGACGATACAAAAGAATATATCTCCTACAATGAATCTGGGGCTGGTACGAAAATGAGGAAAAATTGGGCAATTGAAGAATCTTTTATTCTTTAATCAAATGCCAATGGGATGAATTAATGCTAGGATATGATTATTTCATTTTCACGAGTTATGAACATAACTTATGTTGAAAACCAATCAGATCTTGGAATAGAGGATGTTAGAGAAAGTGCAACAATATGAGATAGGAAATTTGAAGAATCGCTCATAGTTATAAGCTGTTGGCTCCGTTTTCCTATAAGAAGCTGAAGGCTCTGAACAAAAATATATATATTGAAGGCGCATGTACTTGGGAAGTGAGAAATTTGACGTTTGATATTTGTGCTTTGGATTTTTTTAAATTTTTCTTTAATTTTAAGGTTGAGGCAATTGTTTTGGTTTTTAATCCTTTTCTCTAAGTCCTTAGAAGTCTTTTCACAAATGGGTAAATTTGTCTCTAAAATTTTAAAAATAAGGTGGGTGGAAATATCAGCATTCTTTATCAACCCTTATATGATTTAATGTTATCTCTGGGAATAAAAATGGGAAACAAACTAATTTTAGGTAAAAAATTATTATGTTGAACTTCTTAATAATTGACACATTTAAGGTTATACCTTGTCCTTGATTTTAGCATATCTCAAGTTGGTATTTTTTTATTTTTTCTTATTTCTTTCTTTTTTTTATTATTCTTCCCTACGTTCATGTTCTCAAAGCAAAGAAAATTCCTCCCCACATTCATTCATAGTATGTTGGAACTTCTTGAGAGAGGGATTAGTGTTCATGGTTGTTTATGGTGGTAAAGAATTTCCAGGGTCATTTAAGTACCTACGTAGAAGGCTGTTATTTGGTGTGAAAACTTAAACTTGGCATTGGTGTGGTCAAAGGTGAGTCTTTCGTTTGGTTTGTTCTTAGAATTTGGCTAAGTTGTTGTCTTTATTTGTTTACAAGTTGGGGCGGTTGGATTTTGTTTTTGGAGTATGATCTTAGGTAGGTAATACATGGTGATTTTGATACCTGTTGTGGAGGTGATAAAAGACAATCGTGTGCAAGTATTTATTATTCCTCCAATCTAGGTAAATGGGTTGGATTTTTGGTTTCTACTAGTTAGGTAATGAAATTTTTAGTAAGTAAATTTGGATGTGTTTAGTTTGATCACTGTATAAGAGGCAATGTCACATATATAGATAAGTTGTTTTTTGTATTTATATCCCATTTTCAGGTAAAATTCTGCATATTTATAGGTAATTGTTGTCTGGTATGTATTTACCTCAAATGAAGGTCAATTATTCCCTCGACCAATTTTTTCTTGTTGTAGGTGGATTATGAAGACAATAAAAAAATGAAATATAAATACTCTAGATCAAAAGAAGAAAACACCTAAATCAAACCTTTTGGGCACGGATCTAAAGAAGACCCCATCCTTATTGTGAAACAAACAAAATTAAAGTAAAGCTATCAAAATGTTTGAACAAAAATCAGCGATGGAGTAGAAAGTTGGCGAAATGTGTACTGACCAAAACGGCCTTATGGGCCGGAACGGGTACAGCCGCCTGGGCATACCCACCGTCGGCGGCAAACAGAACGACGTCAGAGAAGGAATCTGGCTGGGACGTCGTGAGAAAAGCGACCTTGGCCTTGAGGTCCTCGTGGCACTTCTTGCAGGTGCCGGCGTCGTATCTGCCATTGCAAGATATGCACCTCATGTTGGGTTGGGGTTCTCAAAGATAAATAACAGCAAGAGAAGAAGTTTTAAGGCAAATGTAATTTCATCAATTGATCAGTTGTGCTGCCTCCCCTGCCTTATTATGGTACGTAGTTTCCTTCGTCTGGAAGTAGTCCGCCACTTTTCTTTTCTTTTCTTCTTCTATGTTTAAGTTCCTTGCTTGCTCCAATATCATTCGTATAAAAATAAATAGGGACAATGTTGCCCTTTATCTGTTAGTAGATTTTGACAGATATATTAGAATACTTGTTTATCTATTTACAGAAATGGAGAACCTGACTACTCGCCTTTGTTGGGAGCTTGTAAGGAAGGAAGGATATATTGTTGGAAGTTTGAAAGCAAATTATCCCACATCGGAGGAAACAAATGGTTTTACATGCTTCATAGGTTTCGAATATGAGTCGTGGATCTTTCTCCTTCAGCTCAGCGTACTCCTCCCCGGTAGTAAGCTTGTCCATGTTGTCTGTGATCAATGTCAAGGCTAGGTTGATGATCTGCTTGGCGTTATGCTGATGCACGAAGGTGCAGGTTGAAAGTGAATTGTCCCAGTTGAGGTTGGACACCAAGAACTTCTGGCACAAGTCTTTTAGATGCTGCGCCTGGTATTTGTCAGCCATTACTAGTAGATCACAGGCCAATTGCTGGTCAAGGCATACCACCTCTGCTGTGTAGAGGTAGTTGACAAAAGCACGAAGGGTGCCGTAGGACACATCGACTGTCTTGATGGTGCCACTCAGACTTTCTTCCATCTCATTCTCAAACATGGCGCTGAACACCGTAGAACAGCTCATCTGATTGAGTACCCGCCAAAACACATGTTCAAAAGAATTCAAAGCGTGCATTTTTACAACAAATTCAGCTAGAATTACATTTCCCAGGATCATATGATCATCCACAAACATTAAAGGGATTATGATGCTCAACTCATAGCAAGTTTTGCGTAATGCCTTATGATGATGAATGAGAAATGATGAACCCCGAGGACCAAGGCATTAATTAGAACAACAATACTTCAACACGAAAATGTTAATGCAACCAAGGATTGAAATATCGGCCGATACACCGATATATCTGCTGATATATTGATATTTTCAACTGTCGACACTGATATTGGGGGGTGAGGCCATATCTTCCCTTGTTTCGACGATATATCCCCGATAAGTGCGATATCCCCGATATTTTGCCGATATCCCCGATATTTCCCGATATCCATAACAGAACCCAAAAAAAAATCAGAAGTTTTGAAGGCAATTGAAGCAAATTGAAACCCAAAAATAGCTAATTCTTGCCTAGAACCCTATAATTTATTATGAAGAATCTATGCACAGTCCACTGCCCACATACCTCTAATCCATCTGAAGATGACATGGCGATCAGTTTTGGATATATGAGCATAGGAACTAGACCTAGTACTAATTCAAATGAATCTTATGATGGCTATGGTTATGTCATGTCTGATTATAGTGGAACTAGTTATGGAGCTCAAGATGATAAAACATATTATGGACCTACTAGTTGGTTAATCCTAACTATCCCATATATGGGAGGACAATAGGGAGCTCAAGAGAGACCTATGTGCACCATGTTCAAACATGGCTTAAAAACTGCTCTGGTTACATGACTTGGTATGACTATTGTATGAATATAGATGGTTGTTCGTCATTATTTGAACCTCATAGGAGCTCTTCATTTATGTCGATGGACACTTATCTAAATTGTAATCCAATGTTTAAATAAACTATGGCTTTATGTATGGTTTATTTATTCTAATTAACATTTTATTTTCAAACTTTTCATTAACACGCATTACATACCACTTGTATTTAATCATTTGTTCAATACATTCATTAATAATGTACATAACATCTATGAAAGTTTTACACCAAAATTATGTGTTTCAATGCATATATATGTCATTTTTGTTGATTTTTTCCCGATACATAAAACGATAACGATATATCCCCCGAAATATCCGTAAATTGGTGGCCTGATATTATCTGCAAGGCCGATATTTTAATCCTTGCCCCCAGCAGCAAAATAGCTAGCTATAACTACTCCTAACCTAAGTCATTTTTAGCTAAAAGTCTTCCCAAAACACTCCTCCAACAGACTATATATTGATGAACAAGTAAAACCACAATATATTTGATCAAAACACAAGAATTTTTCAGGAAAAATCACGCGTATACTACATCTACATTTTAATAACTCATCAAAAGCGCAAAAAAAGAATTATCACAATAACACACAGAGTACATATGTAATTGAGTACTGACCAAAATGGCCTTAGGGACAGTAACGGGTACAGAGGCATGGACAGAGCCGTGTCGGAGAAGGAAGCCGGCTGGACGTGGTGAGAAAAGCGACCTTGGCCTTGAGGTCCTCGTGGCACTGCTTGCAAGTGCCGGTCATCTCCGTTGTATTTTCCTTGGCAAGATATATGCACTTGTTCATGTTGGGGTGCTCAAAGATAAATAACCAGAGAAGAAATTGTAAGAAAATGTGATTACATCCATTGATCAGTTGTGCTGCCCCTTAGAGCATGTGCAATGGTTGCTCAATAGTTGATTTCAGTTCAGTTCAAAATTTAAATTTATTGAACTTTTTTGGCAGCTGTTGAACTGAACTGTAGTTTCACTTGCAGCAGTGTAGTTCAATAATTAACACTTCATACCATGATATTATGAAGTGTTGTTTTTGTAATCTTTGTTCCCAAAATTTACGCAAAACACAGGCTTGATGGCCTTCATTCAATAGACTTAACCAAAAGCCAATAGGGAAAATAAAAAAGGAAATCCTTAAAGAAACCTATAATCATTTCCCTCTTTGAAAACTTATGGCAACGGCAACAGTGGCGGGGATGGCAGAGGGTATTTGGGCCACCGGATTTGATGAAGGCCGTAGGAGTAGTTATTGAAAATGATGGCTTGGTTTCATAGTATAAGGTTGTGAAGATCACTTGAAATGCATCAAACTGCACTTTATTCCTCATACAACCGACAATATCTTATGGGCTGTGGATATACACAAGTAACTGAGGAATGAACCTCGACTGCTGCAGTTTTAACCTTAAACTCCGCAGAACCTTTTTGCGCTGCTGCAACCTGTTTGGAGAGATAAGCTTCATAGATTTCGAAAACTGAAAAATTTCACACATCATATGCAGTCGCGACAACAAACAGTCATCATTCTTGTTCATACTCACTTAGAACCTCATAATCTTAAATGGAAATTCCTCTCCAATTATAGGAAGATAAGAAGCCGAAGAAGACTGCTAAAATATGAGAACTATGTGAGAATATTTATTTGTGGAAATTTTTTGTGTATTCTTCTCCTTGTAGAAGGTCATATAACGGAACTTTAATGGACAAGTAAATAATAAATTTTTATTTCTATTTACAGTAGGAAATCAGGAATTAAAGTAAATCAAATATAATTATAATGAGAATCCTTGGTTTGTAAGGAAAGAAAGTCCATGGTCCACAAGTCACGCCAACACTCCCCCTCACGTTGGTGCATAGATGTCGCTAATGCCCAACTGGTCCAGTGAATTGTGGAATGATTTACTGAAAATTGCATTTGTCAAAATATCCACCAATTGATCCTCGGACTTTACGAAAGGAAACTGAATCCTTTTAGCTTCGAGCTTCTGTTTGATATAGTGTCGATCTACCTCAACATGTTTGGTGTGATCATGTTGAACTGGATTCTGTGCAATACCTATTGTAGCCTTGTTGTCACAAAAGTGATTCATTATAGAGGTAGGTCTATACCCAAGTTCAATAAGCAACCTCTTTAACCAAATGAGTTCACAAATTCCTTTGATAAGGCGCCTACCTTCTTTTTCTTACTTCTCCATATAACCAAATTACCTCCGAAGAATGTGAAGTAACAAGATGTGGATTTCCTATCTGTTATACTTCCTGCCTAATCTGCATATGTGTAACCATCAATATTCAGATGATCATGTTTTGAGAACATAAGTCCTTTTCCGGGTGCAGACTTCAAATATCTAAGTATCCGAATAACTACATTCATGTGGTCTTCACTCGGAGAATGCATAAATTGACTGACGACGCTCACCATATAAGCAATGTCTAGCCGAGTATGAGACAAGTAGATCAATCTTCCCACAACCTTTGGTATCTTTCTTTGTTAGTTGGAACTTGATCCGGGTATTCTCTAAGATGATGATTCTGAACAATATGAGTGTCTACAGGTTTGCAATCTAGCATTCTTGTGTTTCTTAACGAGTCCAAAACATATTTCCTTTGAGAGAGAAATATGCTTTGTTGTGGTCGGGTTACCTCAATCTCTAAGAAATAATTGAGTCCACCTATTTTCTTCATCTCAAATCAGTAGCCAAATAGTCTTGTAGCTGAGATATTTCATGTTTATAATTCCCAATAATAATCATGTCGTCAACATAGATTATTGAAGCTATTACCTTCCATTTATGATGTTTCAAGAACAAAGTATGATTTGAGTTACTCTATCTGAAACTATTGTTCTTCATTGCCATGGTGAATTGTCCAAACCAAGCACGTGGTGACTGTTTCAATCTATACAATGCCTTTCATAATTTGCATACTGTTTCAGTATGGGTAGTATTATATCTATGAGGAATGTCCATATACATCTCATCTGTGAGTTCTCCTTGTAGGAAGACATTCTTTACATCAAACGTGGCCTGTTCAAATTAGCTGCGATTGACAGTAAGACTCTAGCTGTATTCAATTTTGCAACTAGTGTAAAAGTTTCTTCAAAATCTACACCATAAGTCTATGTGTACCCTTTTGCCACCAAGGATTAAAATATCGGCCGTGCAGATAATATCGGGCCTCCAATTTACGGATATTTCGGGGGATATATCGTTATCATTTTAGGTATCGGGAAAAAATCAACAAAAATGACAGATATATGCATTGAAACACATAATTTTGGTGTAAAACTTTCATAGATGTTATGTACATTATTAATGAATGTATTGAACAAATGATTAAATACAAGTGGTATGTAATGCGTGTTAATGAAAAGTTTGAAAATAAAATGTTAATTAGAATGAATAAACCATGCATAAAGCCATAGTTTGTTTAAACATTAGATTACAATTTAGATAAGTGTCCATCTACATAAATGAAGAGCTCCTATGAGGTTCAAATAATGACGAACAACCATCTAGATTCATACAATAGTCATACCAAGTCATGTAACTAGAGCAGTTTGTAAGCCATGTTTGAACATGGTGCACATAAGTCTCTCTTGAACTCCATATTGTCCTCCCATATATGGGATAGTTAGGATTAACCAACTAGTAGGTCCATAATATGTTTTATCATCTTGAGCTCCATAACTAGTTCCACTATAATCAGACATGACATAACCATAGCCATCATAAGATTCATTTGAATTAGTACTAGGTCTAGTGTCTATGGTCATATATCTAAAACTGATCGCCATGTCCTCTTCAGATAGATTGGAGGTATGTGGGCAGTGGACTGTGTATAGATTCTTCATATTAATAAATTATAGGGTTCTAGGTAAGGATTAGCTATTTTTGGGTTTCAATTTGATTTAATTGCCTTTAAAACTTCTGAATTTTTTTTGGGTTCTGTTATGGGTATCGAGAAATATCGGGAATATCGGCAAAATATCGGGGATATCGCACTTATCGGGGATATATCGTCGAAACAGGGGAAGATATGGCCTTACCCCTAGTATCGGTGTCGACAGTTGAAAATATCGATATATCGGCAGATATATCGGTGTATCGGCCGATATTTCAATCTTTGTTCGCCACAAGGTCTGCATCATATCGCTCAATAGATCCATCAACGTTGTGTTTTATGGTAAACACTCATCTACATCTTACAATAATTTTTCCTCATGGTAAAGTTTCTAGTGTCCAAGTCTGATTCTTCTCAAGAGCTTTCATCTCTTCCTTTATAGCTTGAACCCACTTAGGATCTTTAATGCTTCGGCAACCTTGGATGGGATATGAATAACAGACAACTGATGCACAAAGGCCTTGAGTGGTTCAGACATCTTCTCATTGGATACATGATTCACAATTGGATACTTTGATGTCTTGCCAATATCAGCTGAATAATGATTTGGTGGCTTTCCATGATTCTGCTTGAAAGATAATTAGTATCCAATAAATTTATCCTATAAATTCACAAGTGTAGTAAGAGTAGTTACCTCAAGGATATTTTCAGGAGATTGGTCTGTTGATACCATTGAGTTAGAGGGGGGTCTTCATTTTGTTGTTATGTATTTTCTGTAGGTATTAGACTCGGATCAGAAACATCTTCGCATGGATCAGGTGGGTCAGGCGATTGATCACTATGAATGGGTGATTGATCATTTTTCGGCAGAGAGTAATCTCGTACTCCAGACTTAGGACGATCGATCATTTATGTACAGAGGAGAATTTCTTAGTTTTCCAAGTTGCTCCAATTCTGCTCTTCACTTCGTATCTCCCCCTAAAGCGTAGAATTGGATGATGGGTCATGGAAGAATAGCTCAGATTTCAGAAAAGTTACATCCAAAGTGACATAGGTATGTCGGGTAGGAGGGTGATAACAACGGTAGCCTTTCTGATGAGTGACATAACCCACAAAACACAACGAAGCACACATGGATCAAGTTTGCTATGTTGATTTTTGTAGAGATAAAGGAAAGCCATACATCCAAAGATTCTGGGTATGAGTACCAAAACAGAGGGAAGAGGTCTGTGTTGCTCAAGCACTTGTAAGGAAGTGTTAAAGGTCAATACACCAGAAGACATGAGGTTGATTAGGTGAACTATGATGACAATATCATCATCCCAGTGATGGCGAGGAACATGAGTGCCAATCAGAAGTTCTTGGGCCGTTTCAAGAAGATGTCAATTCTTTCGTTCAGCAACACCATTTTGTTACGGTGTTTGAGGACAAGTCATCTCATGGATAATTCCATGTTGTTTGAAGTAAGCTTGAAAGTCATGATTGAAAAATTCTCCACCATTATCTGAGCAAAAAATCTGGATTTCAGCATTGAATTGAGTTTTCATCTGTTTGTAGAAGGACTGAAAACGGGAAAACACTTCAGTGTATAATCATCATCTTGATTTGAACAAATATAGTCATGTCATCGGTGTATAATTATCTATGAATGTGACAAACCACCAAACACCAGAAGAAGCAGTGATAGGTGAAGGTCCCCATACATCAAAGTGAATTACGTAAATGAAATAATACACTTGTTCGTACTCAACGGATAGGGCATACGGTGACTCTTCGCCAAAATATAAGTATCACATGTGAAGTCGGAGTCCTTGAAACCTGAGAATAAATATGGTATAAGATTCTTCATATAACTAAAAGACGGATGTCCCAATCGACGGTGCCATAACCAGATTTGCTTTTGCTTGCTATCAAAGAGATGCGTCACATTGTTGGCTATGCCGGGATTAAAGTCATCTACATAATATAGCCCCATCTCTTAGTACCATGACCAAAAATCTCCTTAGTGTGAATATCTTGAAGCAAACAAAAACTAGGGTAAATGAATACAAAATAATTCAATTGTTCAGTAAGCTGACTAACTGACATCAATTTATTCGATAAAGATGGAACAAGTAAAGTATTAGACAGTGAGAGAGAGGATGAAAGTGTAACAGTGCCAGCCCCTGTCACAGGAAAAGTAACTCCATTGACATTAGCAATACAAGTTCGTCGGGGTTGCGTAGTATTCAGAAAATCATTTGGATCAAACATCATATAATCAGTTGCACCGAAATCAATTATCCAGCTCGGGGAATCACTCTTATTCAAAGTATGGAATCCATAACCAGTATCATTATGGGTCGTATGGGGTTGTGTTCGATCTTTGAGAGTAGCCCACCATTCTGCGTAGCCATGCAATTTAAAACAAGTCGCACGAGTGAGTCTTGGATCACCACAGTATGCGCAATCTCATCCATGTATTAGGGTCGTTAGTTGGGAAGTCATAATTTGTGCAGCGAAAGATGCATAGGATACAAGTTTAGTAGGAATCCGAATTAGGATATGAGTTTGAGTCGAGGTTGGAGTCGAAGTTGGGATTTGGGTTTGAATCATAGACAGATTCAAGGTCATCATTGGAGTCAGGGTCGTCATCATCATAGTCAGGGTCGGGGTCGTTGTCATCATAGTTGGGGTCGGGGTCGTCAAAATAGGATCCTGATTCAGGATCGGGTTTGGGGTCGAAGTCTGCATCTATAGGAGCTGAGCCACCTGCTCACTCAACTCAGCTATGGTGATTGAGAAGGAGAGAATGAGTCAGTAGTGCTACCTCCACGAGGGTTGAAAAAATCATCAATCCCATAGCGGCGACAGGGGTTGGAAACTAAAGTCTGATACCATGCTAAAATAGGAGAACTATGAGAGAATATTTGTTAGTGGGAATTTTTTGTGTATTATTTTCCTTGTAAGAGGTTATATTTATAATATAACGGAACTTTAATAGGCAAGTAAATAATAAATTAATATTTCTATTTATAATAGGAAATCATGAATTAAAGTAAATCAAATATAATTATAATGGGAATCTTGCGACGAGTCCTTCTACTTTATTAACCCGTTTGGAGAGATAAGCTACATAGATTTCAAGTATAAGTATTGGATATTTCTCCTTCAGCTCAGCGTACTCCTCCCTGGCAGTAAGCTTGTCCATGTTGTTTGTGATCAAAGTCAAGGCTGCGTCGATGATCGGCTTAGCGTTATGCTGGTGCGCAAAGGTGTAGGTCGAAAGTGAATTGTCCAAGTTGAGGTTGGACACCAAGAACTTCTCGCAACAGTTCTTGAGATGCTGCACTTGGTATTTTTTAGCCAATACAAAGAGGTCACAGGCTAATTGCTGGTAAATGCATACCACCTCAGCTGTGTAGAGGTAGTTGACAAAGGCATGAAGGGTGCCGTAGGACACATCGCAGATCTTGATGGTGCCACTCAGGCTTTCTTCCATCTCATTCTCAAGCATGGCATTGAACACCGGAGAACGGCTCACCTGATCCAGTGCCCGTCAAAATACATACATAATATCTAAGAGGAATTCAAAGTGTGCAATAATAATATTTTCCCAGGAACATATTAATTTTGTGAACAGTACTAGTAGCTAGCCAGGGGAGAGAAAATGACCCTAGCCAAATTATTCCAATAGTACAATTTCTGTATGGCCAAATCTTTTTGAAATTCAAAGGTACCTAAAAAAATTAATTAATTAATTTAAAGGATAATTAAATGTTGAAGATTAACCAAAAAATGGAAAGACTAGAATTGTTGGAGAACCAACGCATTATACTGGAGCCAAGTAATTATAAGAGATATTTAGTCATATACCCATTTTTAGCACTAAAACTATAAATAAACCATACACCATTTAATTTCTATAAATAAACCAAAAAAAAACCCAAAAAATGACAGCTGGCTCTATTGAATTTAATTTTAATTATTAAATTACTTTGATGCCCCATTGAGTATTTTGAGCTTTTTTATGAGGTTTTTGGGTTGAGTTTGTTTTAATAAGAAATCAATGACAGTTTTGTAATTTTTAAAAGTCTTTTTGTTATGTTGTAAATGGATTTTGGGTGTGTTTCTAAAGTCCATTTCATATAGGGTTTTATTTTTTATTTTTTATTAATAATTTGGGCTCTTATATTGGGTATTATAGTGAATCTCTCTAATTATAATAACCCTTATCCATTTCAAGTCAAATTTAGCTAAGTTTTGGCTAACTTTGCCAGCGAGTCTGGGAATGAAGACGTAAAACCACAATATATTTGACTAAAATACTTGAATTCAAGAAAAAGATAAAAGATAAAATACTCCATATGACAAATCACATTTATTAATAAATCATTCCTCCATTAAAAACACGTTTTTACGTGTTAAATTTTGATTTGCAAATACAGAGGTGTAAAAATAAAGTTGCAGACATGTTACAATGTGCCCTCCCTTGTACTCAAGTTTGATCCCCCTCTTTAAAAGATATAGAAAAATTAAAAAATTAGATATAAACCCAAAAGTAATAGTGTTTATTAGGAATAAACCACAGGTTATAATATTTCAATATAGACCCATTGGTTATTTAATTCACCCCCAGCAAACTTACCATACTGAGATGATAAGTCAACTACTATTTATGGTTTGGATTTGTCAAAAACATTTATGCCTATTTTACCCGATCCAACTTTTTATTTTATCAACCCTTATATGATTTAATGTTATCTCTGGGAATAAAAATGGGAAACAAATTTAGGTAAAAAATTATTGTGTTGAACTTCTTAATAATTGACACATTTAAGGTTATACCTTGTCCTTGATTTTAGCGTATCTCAAGTTGGTATCTTTTTGTTTTTTCTTATTTGTTTCTTTTTTTTTATTCTTCCCTACGTTCATGTTCTCAAATCAAAGAAAATTCCTCCCCACGTTCATTCATAGTATGTCGGAACTTTTTGAGAGAGGGATTATTCAGTGTTCATGGTTGTTTATGGTGGTAAAGAATTTCCAGGGTCATTTGTAGAAGGCTGTTATGTCGTGTGAAGGCTTAAATTTGGCATTGGTGTGTTTAAAGGTGGGTCTTACGTTTGGTTTGTTCTTAGAATTTGGCAAGTTGTTGTCTTCATCTGTTTACAAGTTTGGGGCGGTTGAATTTTTGTTTTTGGAGTATGATCTTAGGTATATGGGTAATACATGGTGGTTTTGATACCTGTTGTGGAGGTGGATTATGAAGACAATCCAGAGTTTTAAATTCAAAATTTAAATTAGTAGTAAAAGATTCATAAAATCAGAATTTTCATCTTCTTGCTAAATTTATTTCAAAGGGCAATGGACATAAAAAATGAGATATGAATACTAGCTAGTGAGTCTAGATCAAAAGAAGAAAACACCTAAATAAAACCTTTTGGGCACGGATCTAAAGAAGACCCCATCTTTATTGTGAAACAAACAAAATTAAAGTGAAGCTATCAAAATATTTGAACAAAAATCAGCGATGGAGTAGAAAGTTGGCGAAATGTGTACTGACCAAAACGGCCTTATGGGCCGGAACGGGTATAGCGGCCTGGGCAGGCCCGCCGTCAGAGGCAAACAGAACGACGTCGGAGAAGGAATCTGGCTGGGACGTCGTGAGAAAAGCGACCTTGGCCTTGAGGTCCTCGTGGCACTTCTTTAGGTCCTCGTTGCACTTCTTGCAGGTGCCGGCGTCGTATCTGGCATTGCAAGATATGCACTTCTTGAGGTCCTCATCATCTTCAATGTACATTCCTCGATATGGGTCGAATGGAAAGTTGGGTAAACGTCTAAGGGGCAAATCACCAGTATAACCCTTCTGTGCTGCTGCTTTATTAACCTGTTTGGAGAGATAAGCTTCATAGATTTCAAATACAAGTTGTGGATCCTTCTCCTTCAGCTCAGCGTACTCCTCCCGGGCAGTAAGCTTGTCCATGTTGTCCATGATCAACGTCAAGGCTGCGTCGATGATCTTCTTGGCGTTATGCTGGTGCACGAAGGTGTAGATCGAAAAAGAATTCTCCCAGTTGAGGTTGGCCACCAAGAACTTCTGGCACAAATCTTTGAGATGGTGCACCTGGTATTTTTCAGCCATTACAAGGAGGTCACAGGCCAATTGCTGGTCAAGGCATACCACCTCAGTTGTGTAGAGGTAGTTGACAAAGGCACGAAGGGTGCCGTAGGACACATCGCGGATCTTGATGGTGCCACTCAGGCTTTCTTCCATCTCATTCTCAAGTATGGCATTGAACACCGGAGAACGGCTCACCTGATCCAATGCCGTCGAAATACATACATAATGTTTAAGAGGAATTCAAAGTGTGCAATAATGATAATATTTTCCCAGGAACATATTAATGTTGTGAACAGTACTAGTAGCTGACCAGGGGAGAGAAAATGGAGAAATTTTTATATGTTCCAGGTACACCACGTGACTGGTGTACCATCCAATAAACATAGGACATGTGGAATTATTGTCTAACTTACTGCATTTCTTTTTATAACATGTGGCGGGCTGCATTGCAAATATTCCATGTCTTCCGTCTATTGGATGGTACACCAACCACGTGGTGTACCCGGAACACCCAAAAATTACTCGAGAAAATGACCCTAGCCAAATTATTCGAATTTTACAATTTATGTATGGCCAAATCTTTTTTAAATTCAAAGGTCCCTCAAATTTTTTATATTTTAAAAAGGATAAGTAAATATTGAAGATTCACACCAAAAAAAAAAAAAAAAAAAAAAAAAAAAAAAAAAAAATGGTTGAAGAAACCAAAGCATTATACGGGAGCCAAGTAATTATAATAACCCTTTTAGCCATTTCAAGTCAAATTTGGCTAACTTTGCCGGCGAGTCTGGGAATGATTGAAGACGTAAAACCACAATATATTTGACTAAAATACTTGAATTCATGAAAAAGATAAAAGATAAAAGATAAAAATACTCAGACGACAAATCATGTTTACTAAAAAATCATTTCTCCGTTAAAAATATGTTTTTACGTGTCAAATTTTGATTTGCAAATATGGAGGTGTAAAAGTAAAGTTGCAGACCGGTTATAATGTGCCCTCCCTTGTACTCAAGTTTGATCCCCCTCTTTAAACAATATAGAAAATTAAAAAAATTAGATATAAACCCAAAAGTAATAGGTTTATTACGAATAACCCACGTGTTATAATATTTCAATATAAACCCATTGGTTATTATTCACCCTAGCAAACTTACCATACTGAGATGATAAGGAATTTCCAGGGTCATTTAAGTACCTGCGTAGAGGGCTGTTATTTGGTGTGAAGACTTAAACTTGGTATTCGTGTCTTCAAAGGTGGGTCTTTCGTTTGGTTTGTTCTTAGAATTTGGCAAGTTGTTGTCTTCATTTGTTTACAAGTTGGGGCGGTTGGATTTTGCTTTTGGAGTATGATCTTAGGTTTATAGGTAATACATGGTGGTTTTGATACCTGTTGTGGAGATGATCAAATACAATTTGGATGTGTTTAGTTTGCTAACTGTATAAGAGGTGATGTCACATATATAGATAAGTTGTTTTTCGTATTTATCCCATTTTCATGTAAAACTCTGCATATTTGGGTCAATTTTTTCTTGTTGCAGGTGGATTATGAAGACAATCCAGAGTTCTAAATTCAAAATTTAAATTAGCAGTAAAAGATTCATAAAATCAGAATTTTCAACTTCTTGCCAAATTTATTTCAAAAGGCAATGGACATGAAAAATGAGATATAAATACCTAAATCAAACCTTTTGGGCACGGATCTAAAGAAGACCCCATCCTTATTGTGAAACAAACAAAATTACCAAAAGTAAGTAAAGCTATCAAAATGTTTGAACAAAAATCAGCGATGGAGTAGAAAGTTGGCGAAATGTGCACTGACCAAAACGGCCTTATGGGCAGGAACGGGTACAGCGGCCTGGGCAGACCCGCCGTTGGCGGCAAACAGAACGACGTCGGAGAAGGAATCCGGCTGGGACGTAGTGAGAAAAGCGACCTTGGCCTTGAGGTCCTCGTGGCACTTCTTGAGGTCCTCGTGGCACTTCTTGCAGGTGCCGGCGTCGTATCTGCCATTGCAAGATATGCACCTCATGTTGGGTTGGGGTTCTCAAAGATAAATAACAGCAAGAGAAGAAGTTTTAAGGCAAATGTAATTTCATCAATTGATCAGTTGTGCTGCCTCCCCTGCCTTATTATGGTACGTAGTTTCCTTCGTCTGGAAGTAGTCCGCCACTTTTCTTTTCTTTTCTTCTTCTATGTTTAAGTTCCTTGCTTGCTCCAATATCATTCGTATAAAAATAAATAGGGACAATGTTGCCCTTTATCTGTTAGTAGATTTTGACAGATATATTAGAATACTTGTTTATCTATTTACAGAAATGGAGAACCTGACTACTCGCCTTTGTTGGGAGCTTGTAAGGAAGGAAGGGTATATTGTTGGAAGTTTGAAAGCAAATTATCCCACATCGGAGGAAACAAATGGTTTTCCATGCTCCATAGATTTCGAATACTAGTCGCGGATCTTTCTCCTTCAGCTCAGCGTACTCCTCCCTGGTAGTAAGCTTGTCCATGTTGTCTGTGATCAACGTCAAGGCTAGGTTGATGATCTGCTTGGCGTTATGCTGATGCACGAAGGTGTAGGTTGAAAGTGAATTGTCCCAGTTGAGGTTAGACTCCAAGAACTTCTGGCACAAGTCTTTGAGATGCTGCACCTGGTATTTGTCAGCCATTACTAGGAGATCACAGGCCAATTGCTGGTCAAGGCATACCACCTCTGCTGTGTAGAGGTAGTTGACAAAGGTACGAAGGGTGCCGTAGGACACATCGACTGTCTTGATGGTGCCACTCAGACTTTCTTCCATCTCATTCTCAAACATGGCGCTGAACACCGTAGAACAGCTCATCTGATTGAGTACCCGCCAAAACACATGTTCAAAAGAATTCAAAGCGTGCATTTTTACAAACAAATTCAGCTAGAATTACATTTCCCAGGATCATATGATCATCCACAAACATTAAAGGGATTATGATGCTCAACTCATAGCAAGTTTTGCGTAATGCCTTATGCTGATGAATGAGAAATGATGAACCCCGAGGACCAAGGCATTAATTAGAACAACAATACTTCAACACGAAAATGTTAATGCAACCAAGAGCACCCCCAGCAGCAAAATATCTAAGCTATAACTAGTCCTAACCTAAGTAATTTTTAGCTAAAAGTCTTCCCAAAACACTCCTCCAACAGACTATATATTGATGAACAAGTAAAACCACAATATATTTGATCAAAACACTTGAATAATTCTTGAAAGGATAAGAATTTTTTCAGGAAAAATCACGCGTATACTACATCTACATTTTAATAACTCATCAAAAGCGCAAAAAGGAATTATCACAATAACACACACAGTACATATGTAATTGAGTACTGACCAAAATGGCCTTAGGGGCAGTAACGGGTACAGAGGCATGGACAGAGCCGTGTCGGAGAAGGAAGCTGGCTGGGGGTGGTGAGAAAAGCGACCTTGGCCTTGAGGTCCTCGTGGCACTGCTTGCAAGTGCCGGTCATCTCCATTGTATTTGCCCTGGCAAGATATATGCACTTGTTCATGTTGGGGTGCTCAAAGATAAATAACCAGAGAAGAAATTGTAAGAAAATGTGATTACATCCATTGATCAGTTGTGCTGCCCCTTAGAGTATCCGCAATGGTTGCTCAATAGTTGATTTCAGTTCAGTTCAGTTCAAAAGTTAAATTTATTGAACTTTTGTGGCAGCTGTTGAACTTAACTGTAGTTTCACTTGCAGTGGTGCAGTTCAATAATTAACACTTCACACCATAATATTATGAAGTGTTAGTTTTTGTAACCTTTGTTCCCAAAATTTGTGCACAACACAGGCTTGATGGCCTTCATTCAATAGACTTAACCAAAAGCCAATAGGGAAAACAAAAAAGGAAATCCTTAAAGAAACCTATAATCATTTCCCTCTTTGAACGGCAACATCGGCGAGGATGGCAGAGGGTATTTGGGCCACCGGATTTGATGAAGGCCGTAGGAGTAGTTATTGAAAATGATGGCTTGGTTTCATAGTATAAGGTTGTGAAGATCACTTGAAATGCATCAAACTGCACTTTATTCCTCACACAACCTATAATATCTTATGGGCTGTGGATATACACAAGTAACTGAGGAATGAACCTCGACTACTGCAGTTTTAACCTTAAACTCCGCAGAACCCTTCTGCGCTGCTGCAGCCTGTTTGGAGAAATAAGCTTCATAGATTTCGAAAACTGAAAAATTGCACACATCATATGTAGTCGCGACAACAAACAGTCATCATTCTTATTCATACTCACTTAGAACCTCATAATCTTCAATGGACATTCCCCTCCAATTATAGGAAGATAAGAAGTCGAAGAAGACTGCTAAAATATGAGAACTATGTGAGAATATTTATTTGTGGAAATTTTCTGTGTATTCTTCTCCTAGGAGGTCATATAACGGAACTTTAATGGGCAAGTAAATAATAAATTCTTATTTCTATTTACAGTAGGAAATCAGGAATTAAAGTAAATCAAATATAATTATAATGGGAATCCTTGGTTTGTAAGGAAAGAAAGTCCATGGTCCACGAGTCACGCCAACACTCCCCCTCACGTTGGTGCATAGATGTCGCCAATGCCTAACTGGTCCACGAGTCACGCCAACACTCCCTCTCTCTGCAAGATGCCGGTTCTTTCTCTCCGCTACTCAATTCTGTTGTGGCTTGTTGGCACATGTGAACTGATGACGTATGCGAGACTCTCGTAGATACTGATAGAATTCATTTGAGGTATATTCTCCTCCATTATCTGTGCGTAGACAGATAATCTTCTTCCCCACTTCTCCTTCAACTATCTCTTTAAACTCTTTAAACTTTGAAAATGTGTTAGATTTTTCTTTCATAAAGAAAACCCACACATACCTGGAGAAGTCATCAATGAAAGTCACCATGTATCGCATCCCGCTAATTGATGGTTGCTTCATTGGCCCAAACACATCAGAATGGATTAACTCTAATGGTTCTTTTGCTTTGAACTTGGACTCCTCATATGGTAGTTGATACGCTTTACCATATTGGCATCCTGCACAGACCGTATCTGTTCTCACGTCAAGCTTAGGCAAACCCTTGAGCATTGACTTCTTCATCATCACGCTTAGCTTGTGATAGCTAACGTGGCCCAATCTCATGTGCCATAAATCTGCTATCTCATTCTTTCTTGTCTTGTCTACATATGCAGACTCTGCTGACATTACGTAGACTAACTCTAATCGTCGTCCCTCCATTGTCGGCATCCCTGAGATCTTGAGGTCTCGATACACCTTCACATCTCTTGGACCGAACAGGACGTAGTGGCCTGATGATGTCAGTTGCGCCACTGACAGCAGATTCTTCTTCATGCCTGGAACATGGTAGACGTCTTGAAGCGGCACTTGGTTAGAGTTATGTCGTGGTACAACTATTGTCTTACCGATGTGGGTTATCGGTAACCTTAAGTTGTTGGCTGTCACTACCACACGATTACCCTTATACTCAGTCAGATTCTGCAGCTTCTCTTTATCACCAGTCATGTGATTTGAGCAACCTAAGTCAACGATCCAATCATTCTTATAGTTAATCCCTTCAGGTGACATCACAGTGAGGGCTATCTCCTCTTCCTCAATAACGAAAGATGCTTCCGCGTCCCAATCATCCTCACTTTTCTCCTTTGAGTTGGAAGTAGCAGTATTACTCTCAATGGGCCTTTTGTTGGACCAACAATCTTTCGCCATATGACCCTTCTTTCCGCAATTGTAGCATTTACCTTCGAATTTTTTATTATTCTTGGACTGACCACGGTTGCCGTGAAACTTTGAAGCTCCCCCTGGTCGAGAACTTCCTTCTCCTTGATGACCTTTCATCTTGTCACCATCTCTTTTAGATCCACCACCAATGTGCTGCTTAAAGTTGCCTTTACTTTTGTTGGTGTAGAGCGCTTCCTCTTCACCTTTTAATGAGACCCCTCCCATTTGCTTAGCCATAGCTTCTTGATCTGCAAGCAAATTTTCAAACTCAACAAGTGATGGTTAAGTAGGCCACCCTTGTACAGCGGCAACGAAGCCTCGGTATTCGGGTCTCAGACCATGAATAATTATTCTTTTTATCCTAGATTCCACAATAGTAACAGTAGGATCTAAATAAAAAATTTCACAGCAAATGGACTTTACCTTGTGGAAGTACTGAGCAATCGTCATGTTGCGTTGTGCAACGAACAGCAGCTCGTTCTCAAGAAGTTGTAGTCTTGTGTCATTCTTTTTTGAAAAGAGTGCTGCAAAGGTGTCCCATGCTTCCTTTGGTGTTTTGGCTTTCCTTATGTGCTCAAACATTTCTTCTTAAATTATTGTCTTTAGGGCAAACATGGCTTTACCTGCTTTGATCTTCCACTTACGCAAAGTGTCATTGTTGTCTTCTCGTGGTTGTGTAACATCGTTGCCCCCGACGACATCCCAAAGATCTTGACCTTGCAGATAAGACTCCATACATGTAGCCCATGTGTTGTAATTTTTGTTGTTGAGCTTCGTGATTCCTTCAACTACATGAAGATCACCCATTGTGTCAGCAGAATTCCGGCAGTACCGAGCAAGCTTGATCTAAAGATGCAAACTTATAGAGACAAACTCTTCACGACTCAAAGAAGCTCCCGCAAAATCAGTCACTGACCGTCCCGCTCTGATACCAATTGTTGAGCAATATTTAGAGTACACAACTCTAATGTAAACTTGTTGGAGACAAACAAGTAAACAATTTACTTGTATTAGACTCACAAAATATTACAACAAACAACTCTCAAAGGAAAGACCAACTCTTACAACAAACACTCTTTCTCACTTCACTCACACTTCTCACAAGAACTACTTAGCTCTATAGCTTATTGCTCACTCTACTTATTCACACTCTTGACGCACTTCACTTCTTGATTCACTTACACAATGAAGTACACCTTATATTTATAGGCATGTTTAGCCGACTTATTCTCCAATAACCGACTTTGATTTCCACCGACTTTGGCTTCTCCACAATTCCTAGCCACAAGTGTGTGGCATACTCCACACACTTCTCCAAGCTTACATTAATATTTTAAGATACTTATGAAGACTATTCTAGACTATTATGCATGCAGCCTCTAGCTTTGCCGACTTTGCATGGTCGGTGAAATCTCTTCTCCTCACTTCTAGATTTTTCTAGAATTGTCTAGTTCAAGTGTTGGCAATCTTCCATGGGCTGATCTTTATTTCCTTGGGCTGAGTTAAGTGATGGGCTGGTGTTGATCTTTAACATATAATACATGAACTTCTAGTTGATCCCAGTTTGAATAATTTTTTTTGGTCGATAAGAAATTTCATTTAAAAAAATAAAGGAATGCAACATTCATTATTATTATTATTACTTCCTTTATGTACATCAAATGCACACAATAGGATGGTCAAATGTGCACAATTAAACACACATGCCATGCTATTAAAATTCTTGTTTTCATTACCTTTGTTTCGAATTGTGCACACACAGAGGGCATGATGGACTTTCCAGCACTGCATTAGCTGTTGAACAACAATCTATTGTCTATGCAAATAGCTGACAAATAATGCCACATCATATGGAGTCGGGATACAACAAACATACGGAAACACTATCAAATGTATGAAAGTGATTTGGAAACTAAACTTCAGCTATGAAAGGCTGAAAATTGAGAATCTTAAGGGTAGTAAAGTGTTACCAGTGTTATTTTAGAACTAAAAAATGTTACCAAACCAATCTTCACATTTTCAGAAAGTTAATCACAAGTCGTATGAAGTTACAACAACAAACAATCAAAATTCATCCTCACAGTCATCGGCGGAACCAGTAACAGGGCTGCCATGGGCTCTAGCCCAGGTAGCTCTTTTGAAAATTAAAATATACTACATGTATTTCAATGTGATTTATCCCATAAAAGCTTATAAACATTCATGACTTTAACTCTTTACATTCTCCTATTTTCTCTATATGTTTTCTTAATGTCGTCACCCTATACAATTATCAAAAAACGACGTGTTATTATGGAATTTTTCTTGATTACACTACAAAAAAAGGAGGCAAAGGTCACCTTTTTAAAGTAATCAAATTAGTATTGGTGACAATTTAATGGCTGGTCAATGCTTTTGTTTACTCCTCACTATTATTTGTGATTAAGTTTGTCACACTCACACTTTAATACTTTGATGACATTTGATTTAAATATAATAAATATATAATTAATTAGAATGCTACTAAACGAATCCTAAAATTAACTGAGTACACCTCATGTCGAAGATATGCACCTCATGTCGAAGATAAGAAATTTAAAGCAAAATGTAATTTTAATTTTCATGCATTGATCATTGTGCAGCCTGCCCTGCCTTATATATTAGTAGCTAGCTACCTTCACTGGACGGTTCACTTTTCTTTTTCTTTGGTTTACTATTAATTATTGGACTCCTTCCGGAGGAAGTTCGCCACTTTGCTTTGTAAGGGCCTCCGCAACTCCGCTTTTATTTGTATCTAGGAGATGAAAAGATTGAGGATGACGTTGATTCATCTTTCATGATATAAATAAAGGCAGTAGTAAAATGAATTGTAGTTCAATTGGTTAAGAACAATTATTTAGGGCCTGTTGGGGAGTGTTTTTGGAAGGGCCAAAAATGCTTTCTGATAACTAAAAGTGCTTCTGACAGCGTTTGGCAGAAAAGTTTAGAAGCGCTTCTGGGTCATAGAAGCGCTTCTTGGAGAAGCACGTGCTATGTGCTTCTTCAGGAAGCACTCCCAAGTGCTTTTCCACAAAGCACTTTAATTTTTTATGAAAATTCTAAATTTTTATAATAAAAGCGCTTTTGTTAGAAGCGCTTATGAGCAAAAGTACTTCCTAGAAAAGCAGTCCCAAATGAACCCTTATATGATCTCGATATTTTGTCCATCGTGGTCTTGAATTGAAATAAATATATTATTGTTACAATCGTTCATAAATTGATCATTGTGCTGCTTGCCCTGCCTTATATTAATAGGAAGGAGTTGGCCACTTTGCTTTGGAATGGGTCCGCCATCAAGGATGATGTTGATTTATCTTTCGGGATATATTAATGGCAATTGAATTGCATAAAATAATAGCTCAATCTTATTGAAGCGGATAGTAGACAATGATGCCAATTGAATTGCATAAAATAATGGATGATAATCCATAAAACTCCTATTATAATTATATTTTTTTTACTTTTTAATTTTTTATTTTGGCGTGAAAGTGGGAATTCATTGAAAAACATTGACAATTACAGAGAATTGAAACATCAATGCCTTCTTAACAAGGAGGCTTTCACCCAACTCAAATGTTACATTACAAGCACAAAGACTTGATGCAATGAGCCAACATAAAAAAAACATTAAACTTAGCTCACTAGAAGCCAAATACATAAACAAACAGAGCATAATTCTCATGTAAATTATGCCAAATCAAACCCAGCAATCGGCAAACAACTCTACTTTTGCCAGTATTTGGAAAAGAGGACAGTATCAGTAAGAGAAAGAGCATATCCACTATCTTCCTCCAGACACTCGTACAAGCATCACAACACCATCATTTCTCCACCAGGTCACAACACCCAAACTCTGACAGTAGACATTGGCTTCTCCTCCAGAAGATAACCCCAAGCCTCCAGAAAGTAGAAACAAAAAGCCCATAGCTAAAAAGGAGATATGTTCCACTAGATCTTGACATATTTAAAGAAAATAATATGCCTAGCTGAGGGAGAAAACACTTGAACCAAAGAGAGATGGGAGAAAGTATTGCCTAATGCTCCAACTACTCCCAAGTCATTTTTACCTAAAATTCTCCCAAAGACAACTCCTTCAGCATATTTTGTCCCAATCTTTTTTTTTTTAATTTAAAGGATAATTAAATATTGAAGATTAACACACACAAAATTACAAGCATTGTTGGAGGAGCATTTACAAGTGCCTAGTCACTGCCCTCACTTTCACTGTCGTCACTGTAAGACGTAGAAGAAACCGTGCGCACACAGGAAAATGAAGAATGTCTGGAGAGAAAAGCTTCATAGATTTCGAATACAAGTTGTGGATCTTTCTCCTTCAGTTCAGCATACTCCTCCCGGGCAGTAAGCTTGTCCATGTTGTCTATGATCAACGTCAAGGCTGCATGGATGACCGGCTTAGCGTTATGCTGGTGCGCAAAGGTGTAGGTCAAAAGTGAATTGTCCAAGTTGAGGTTGGACACCAAGAACTTCTGGCAGTAGTTTTTGAGATGTTGCACCTGGTATATTTCAGCCATTACTAGGAGGTCACATGCCAATTGCTTGTCAAGGCATACCTCAGCTGTGTATAGGTAGTTCACAAAGGTATAAAGGGCGCTGTAGGACACTTCGCCAATCTTGATGGTGCCGCTCCGGCTTTCTTCCATCTCATTTTCAAGCATAGCTCTCAACACTGGAGAACGGCTCACCTAACACACATAATATAAATCACATTTGCTAATAAATCATTCATCTGCCTACAAATAAATCACATCTCACATCACACGTGACATATGCCTACATATATATAAATAACTCGTAATAAAACACACAATATTTTCTTTTATGCACATGTCTCTACAAAAAAAATAAAAATAAAAATTGAAGTTCGGAACCTTTGATTTGCCTAGAAATAAACAATAATAGTCACAAATCGTGGAACAAAAATCAGAGATGATGTAAAGTAGCAAGTTAGCTGAATGGATACTGACCAAAACGGCCTTATGGGCCGGAACGGGTCGAGCGGCCTCTTTGTCGTCGGAGGCAAACAGAAAGATGTCGGAGAAGGAAGATGGATGGGTCGTCGTGAGAAAAGCAAGCTTGGCCTTGTGGTCCTCGTGGCACTGCTTGCACGTGCCGGGGTCATCTCTGTTGTATATGCCCTCGCAAGATATGCACCTCATGTCGAAGATAAGAAATTTAAAGCAAAATGTAATTTTAATTTTCATGCATTGATAATTGTGCAGCCTGCCCTGCCTTATATATTAGTAGCTAGCTACCTTCACTGGACGGTTCACTTTTCTTTTTCTTTGGTTTACTATTAATTATTGGACTCCTTCCGGAGGAAGTTCGCCACTTTGCTTTGTAAGGGCCCCTGCAACTCCGCTTTTATTTGTATCTAGGAGATGAAAAGATTGAGGATGACGTTGATTCATCTTTCATGATATAAATAAAGGCAGTAGTAAAATGAATTGTAGCTCAATTGGTTAAGAACAATTGGTCTTGAATTGAAATAAATATATTATTGTTACAATCGTTCATAAATTGATCATTGTGCTGCTTGCCCTGCCTTATATTAATAGGAAGGAGTTGGCCACTTTGCTTTGGAATGGGTCCGCCATCAAGGATGATGTTGATTTATCTTTCGGGATATATTAATGGCAATTGAATTGCATAAAATAATAGCTCAATCTTATTGAAGCGGATAGTAGACAATGATGCCAATTGAATTGCATAAAGTAATGGATGATAATCCATAAAACTCCTATTATAATTATATTTTTTTTACTTTTTAATTTTTTATTTTGGCGTGAAAGTGGGAATTCATTGAAAAACATTGACAATTACAGAGAATTGAAACATCAATGCCTTCTTAACAAGGAGGCTTTCACCCAACTCAAATGTTACATTACAAGCACAAAGACTTGATGCAATGAGCCAACATAAAAAAAACATTAAACTTAGCTCACTAGAAGCCAAATACATAAACAAACAGAGCATAATTCTCATGTAAATTATGCCAAATCAAACCCAGCAATCGGCAAACAACTCTACTTTTGCCAGTATTTGGAAAAGAGGACAGTATCAGTAAGAGAAAGAGCATATCCACTATCTTCCTCCAGACACTCGTACAAGCATCACAACACCATCATTTCTCCACCAGGTCACAACACCCAAACTCTGACAGTAGACATTGGCTTCTCCTCCAGAAGATAACCCCAAGCCTCCAGAAAGTAGAAACAAAAAGCCCATAGCTAAAAAGGAGATATGTTCCACTAGATCTTGACATATTTAAAGAAACTAATATGCCTAGCTAAGGGAGAAAACACTTGAACCAAAGAGAGATGGGAGAAAGTATTGCCTAATGCTCCAACTACTCCCAAGTCATTTTTACCTAAAATTCTCCCAAAAACAACTCCTTCAGCATATTTTGTCCCAATCTTTTTTTTTTAATTTAAAGGATAATTAAATATTGAAGATTAACACACACAAAATTACAAGCATTGTTGGAGGAGCATTTACAAGTGCCTAGTAATTACAGTAACTCCTTAGGCACCGTCACTGTCCCTCAAATCCATAACCCTCACTGTAAGACGTAGAAGAAACCGTGCGCACACAGGAAAATGAAGAATGTCTGGAGAGAAAAGCTTCATAGATTTCGATCACGAGTTGCGGATCTTTCTCCTTGAGCTTGGCGTACTCCTTCCGGGAAGTAAGCTTGTCCATGTTGCCTGTGATCACTATTAAGGCCGCGTCGATGATCTGCTTGGCATTATGCCGGTGCGCTAAGATGTAGGTCGAAAGTGAATTGTCACAGTTGAGGTTGGCCACCAAGAACTTCTGGCAGTAGTCTTTGAGATGCTGCACCTGGTATTTTTCAGCCATTACAAAGAGGACACAGGCGAATTGCTGGTCAAGGCGTACCTCAGCAGTGTAGAGGTAGTTAACAAAGGCACCAAGGGTGCGGTAGGACACTTCGCCAATCTTGATGGTGCTGCTCAGGCTTTCTTCCATCTCATTCTCAAACATGGCTCTAAACACCGGAGAACGGCTCACCTGAATAACACATGTTGTTCAAAATAACTTTAATATCACAACACCCTTCATATATATAATCAATCAAACAAGTTTTTCCAAAGAAATTATAATAACGCATTGGCCATTTCAAGTCAATCAAATTTAGCATTCATCGACCTACAAATAAATCACATCTCTCATTACATTTACTAATTAAGGTTCTTACATAGTTCTCCAAAGAAATCAACCAATTCATAAAAAAATAAAAATATACAAATAAAGTCACCAAATTGTTGAGAGTAAAAAACAATGATGAAGTAAAGTGGCAAGTTGGCGGAATGGGTACTGACCAAAACGGCCTTATGGGCCGGGACGGGACCAGCGGCCTCGTCGTCGGAGGCAAACAGAACGACGTCAGAGAAGGAAGCCGGGTGGGTGGCCCCGAGAAAAGCGACCTTGGCCTTGTGGTGCTCGTGGCACTGCTTGCAGGTATCGGCGTAATAATCTTGGAAGCAGCTCTCGCAAGATTTGCACCTCATGTTGAAGAGAAGAAATTCAAAGTAGCTTAATTGGCGGTTCACTTTTCTTTTTGTTTGGTTACTATTAATTATTGGACGGAGTTCGCCACTTTGCTTTGGAAGGGGCCCTCCCACACTGACTTCTATTCTATCTATATCTAGCCTTCTTGTGTGAGATATGAAAAAAATAAAGGACGATGTTGAATCATCTTCCAGGATAAACACAAAGACAATATTGATTTAAAAATTTGAAGAATGAAATGATAACTTTTAAAAAGTTCAAAAAATTACTTGTGATAAAATTTCATGTTTTATTTTAGTTTACATATATATTTTAACAACTTCTTGAAAATATTTGCAAAAATAAATAAATAAAAAAACAAGGAATATTGAAAGATGGGGAATTTAGGGTTAGGCTTCATTTATTGATAATTATAGCTCGTGTTACCATAAAAGTGAGAAATTTTAATCATATAGGCTACCCATGTTATAACACATGAATGAATTATACTATATAGTTGTATTCCAGTATCATATAGTAATTTCTCCTATTTATGAAAGAATTTTTCCGCTTTTAGTAGTTAGTTTTAACTGATATCCCCAACCAATATAATACATGAGCTTCTAGTTGATCCCAGTTTGAAATTTTTTTTTTGTCGATAAGAAATTTCATTTAAAATAAATAAAGGAATGCAAACTATGGATGGTCAAATGCAACATTTATTATTATTATTATTACTTCCTTTATGTATATCAAATGTGCACAATTTAACACACATGCCATGCTATTAAAATTCTTGTTTTCATTACCTTTGTTTCGAATTGTGCACACAAACAGGGTACGATGGACTTTCCAGCACTGCATTAGCTGTTGAACAACTTTCCCAATCTATTGTCTATGCAAATAGCTGACAAATAATGCCACATCATATGGAGTCGGGATACAACAAACATACGGAAACACTATGAAAGTGATGCGGAAACTAAACTTCAGCTATGAAAGGCTGAAAAGGGTAGTAAATTGTTACCAGTTTTATTTTAAAACTAAAAAATGTTACCAAACCAATCTTCACATTTTCAGTTTTTTCACAAATGAAAATTGAAAACAAACTGAAATGGTGATCAAACAGAAAGGTAATGAAGTTACAACAACAGACAATCAAAATTCATCCCTCATAGTAATTGGCAGCAGAACCAGTAAAAAAGGTATTTCAATGTGATTTATCCCATAAAAGCTTATAAACATTCATGACTTTAACTCTTTACATTCTCCTATTTTCTCTATATATTTTATTAATATGTCGAAAATATTCTCAACGGCCATCATATCACCCTATACAATTATCAAAAAACGACGTGTTATTATGGAATTTTGCTTGATTACACATTTTTTTTTTTTTAAAGGAGGCAAAGGACATCTTTTTAAAGTAACCAAATTAGTGTTGGTAACAATTTAAAGTAACCAAATTAGTGTCTGTAACACTTTAATACTTTGGTGACATTTTTTATTTAAATATAATAAATATATAATTAATTATTGTGATTAACATCTAAAACAGTAATTTTCATGGCTAATTTTTTATTATGGCCTTCTTCATTCTCTCTGAGCGGTCTCTCTCCCAACCAAAATAAATCAACCACTCATTCTCTCAGTGACTTTCGACTGGAGAACACGATATCTCGGAGTATGAGATCTTTCGTTCATCAATTTGTTGGCTAGATCAAATCTCGAATCTGAGAGCTAGAGTGGGCTTGCTTCTCTGGATCATATTTTCGAAATATCTCTCTCCAAACTCTATCCCAATGTCACTATAGTGTCTGAGCTCTCTCTCTCTCTCTCTCTCTCTCTCTCTCATATTTTGATTCAAATAGTGCCCTTTGCTTTGCTGTTCGACTCCTGAAACAAGAAACGCAGGCCAGAGCAACCAGCGTTTCTTCCACCACAACCCAGAGGTATTCGCCGATCCCACTTCTGAATTTTTTTAAAAACAACGATTCTTTCAAATTCCATTTTGGGTTTTTTTTGTTGGTTTTGTCCCTTTAGCAGGTTCTCTATGGTATTTTTTATGCTCCTTTTGCAGGTTTTTTTTAATGGAAATATAGTCCAATGGTGAAATTTCTCTTTCATCTAATTTTAGTTGTATATTTTTGTTTATAATCTTAGCATTCTTTAGTTGTCATTTTGATTTCTTTACAGTGATGATGGAGGAGACTTCAATTGTTAATTATTTGTATGTTTGGATAAGAGGAAGGCTTGGATTAGGAGTACTAGATGTAAGTCTTGTTAGACGTCTGTATTGTACTACTTAATTACCATTAGCCTCTTCGCACGCGCTCTCTACGCTTGCAAAATTTTTTTTTTTTTTTTTTTTTTTTTTTTTTTTTTTTTTTTAATATAAATAAAATTTATTTTAGAATTAAAAAAATAATGGGTAGTTGTGTTCCATAAAAAATAGGATGTATTATCTTAATTTTCTTTTAATTTTAATTTTTTTAATATGAAAAGTGTGAATTTACTATATTATCCTCATGTAATTAATAATTTCAATTCTTAATATTTGCATTAACCAAGAGCATTTTATGATATTTTGAATGTTTCACAATTCTCTGTTTTTTGCTTTATATATATATATATATTATGTATAATATTTATATTTAATTGAATTTTAATATTAGATTGGTTTTTTAACACATGAATTGCATTACCGAAGAATTATTGTTATTATCTTATCAGGAAAAAATTGAATTATTGTTGTTATGCGATTAAAATATATCAAATGGAAATTGTAATTATTTAAAACGTATATATAATTCAGAAAATAATTAGCCTAATCAAAGATTAAAATAATAATAAAATATAAGTCTAAAGGCAGCTGGAAAGTCAACATAATGTTGTCTACTTTTCTCTATTAATGGTGACAAAAGCCAATGATCACGCCCACAAATCTCACCAACGTGTCACGGGAACCTGACACCAATCCGCGCCGGGGTTTCCCAAAGTAGTAACGTTACTATTGATGACGTATTTTGTAGTGTTAGCTTGTTTGGAGAAATAAGCTTCATATATTTCGAATATGAGTCGCGGATCTCTCTCCTTGAGCTCCTCATACTCCTTCCGGGCAGAAAGCTTGTCCATTTTGTTTGTGATCAACGCCAAGGCTGTATCGATGATCTGCCTGGCATCATGCTGGTGTGCAAAGGTATATATCATAAATGCATTTTCCCAGTTGAGGTTGGCCACCAAGAACTTCTGGCACAAGTCTTTGAGATGCGGCACCTGGTATTTGTCAGCCATTACTAGGAGATCACAGGCCAATTGCTGGTCAAAGCATACCTCAGCTGTGTAGAGGTAGTTGATGAAGGCACGAAGAGCGTCGTAGGAGACATCGCCAATCTTGATGGTGCCGCTCAGGCGTTCTTCCATCTCATTCTCAAGCATGGCTCTCAACACTGGAGAACGATCCCCCTGATCCAGTGCCAGCCAAAATATACATATTGCTTAATAGGAATTCAAAGAGTGCATTGAACAAAAACCAGCTAGATAAGACCATTCAAGATGAAAAATATTCCCGTTTACTGATAAATCATTCCTCCATTTGCAAGTCACATAATCTGATTTGTGTGCATATATATATATATATATATATATATATATGTTAATACCTCCTTAAAAATTAATACAAAAAACAAGGTTTTTACATTTCAAAATTTTCTTTTTAAATAAGGAGGAATAAAAGTAAAATTACAGACGAGATCCCGCCCTTTACACTCGAGTTCAGTCTTTCTTTGAATATTATAGTAATTAGAATATTATTATTGTAAAAAATAAATTAAAATAAAGCCACCGAAATGTTTGAACATACATAAAAAACAACAGTGACGAAGTAAAGTAGCAGCAAGTTAGCGAAATGGGTACTGACCAAAACGGCCTTTTGGGCCGGAATGGGTACAGGGTTCTCGTCGGAGGAGGCAAACAGAATGACGTCGGAAAAGAAAGCCGGCTGGGACATCGTGAGAAAAGCGACCTTGGCCTTGAGGTCCTCGTGGCACTGCTTGCAGCAGGTGCCTGCATCATATCCGCCCTCGCAAGATATGCACCTCCTCATGTTCATGTTGTTGGGGTACTCAAACGTAAATAACAACAAGAGAAGAAATATTATGCTGACAAAAATAAGAAATTAAAACAAGAGGAAGAAATTTAAAGCAAATGTAATTTCATCGACTGATCATAGTGCTGCCTGCCTGGCCCTGCCTTATATAAGTAGCCAGCTAGCTTCATTGGACTCTTCCACATTTCTTTTTCTTTGGTAAACCCCTTCCTCTGCAAGGAGTCGGCCACTTTGCTTTGGAAGGGTCCCGCCATTCTGCTTTCTATCTAGGACGATGTTGATTCATCTGCTACATTAAAATTAAAAGATCATAATAAAGACAATATTGATTGATTTAAAAATTTAAAGATGAAAATGACATTTTAAAAAGTTTAAAAGGATTATTTGCAGTGTCATTTCCTTTCTTATTTTTAGTTTGTTTAAATTATATTTATATTTGTCAACGGGACTAGCTGAGTGAAAAATACTTTAACTTTCAGATAAATGATATTAGTTTCGAACTCTCATGGCACATTGGCACTATATGTGAAAAAAACCACTTCCCATTCCTAAGTAGTTTGACCAAAAAAAAATATATATCTATATTTTAAACAACTTGTTGAACATCATGGAAAAGAAACTAAGTAATATTGTAAGAGGAATACGGTGAGGCTCCATTTGTGGAAGAATTTTTTCACTATTAATTGGTACTTGAGTTTTAACCAATGTACATGAACTTCTAGTTCACCCCAATTTGAAGACTTTTTCTCTTTTTGATGACATATATGTGGGGGCGTAGTTTGCCAAAATACTAGTTTTATCCATTGATCATTTTGCTGCTCTGCTTTATTAGTAGCTTCATTGGGTTTTCACTATATATATTTTTTTGGTGGTCATTATTAATTATTGGACTCCTTCCTCTGGAAGGAGTTCGCCACTTTGCTTTAGAAGGGACCCCACACTGCTTTCTATCTATATCTAGCCTTTTTTGTGGGATATATGTAAAGAGATTTTCTATTTAAATCTTGCACTTTTCTTTATTCATTTTAATATTTAAATAATTAAGCTGTAAGTTTTATTATTGTGTAAAAAGATAAAAAAAAGTTCATTCAACTTAATACTACCTTAATATATCTATACACACACCCCACCACTTTTCATATTAAGTTTTAGAAAAATACTAACTTCTCTAAATTCTATTGCCAGATTATTCTTCTCTTTTAAAGAAGTAGAATGTTGAGGAGCCTACCTCTTTAAAAGTTGCGTGAGAGCTGATGGAAAAGCTTATTGATTCCTTGGCTATAATGATCTTATTCTCTTCCCTTTGTTGATTGCTTAGCTAATGGAAAGGTTTGTTGATTGTTTGGTTTGTTTTAATATTTTATTTAAAAATTTATACTGACTTGACTTCTTATATGCTCAAAAGTAAACAGTAGATGATTAATGTACCTTTCGTTGGGTAAAAAATAAAATAAGATGTTGTGGTCATTGGATTTCACTATCATTAGAAAACGAAACCAAACAAACTACAATTTCCCATATGATCTAATCACATGATAAAAACAGCCTTTTGAAAACGACAAAATCTCATGTATAATACTAATATTGTTTAATGATTTAAGTATGGAGTGAACAAAGAAAAGTGTGGGGTTTAAATAAAAAAATTCTTTTATTTTTTATTTTTTCAGCTAAGGGTATTAAATGTAGTTTGGGAAGATAATGGGGTTTTATTAGAAATTCTGAAAATTTAAATTAGAAGTTGAGGTGAACAAAGAGAAGTGTGGGGTTTAAATAGAAAACCTCTATGTAAAAATCAAGGACGATATTGATTCTCTTCGAGCATAAAAATTAAGACAATATTGATTTGAAAATTGAAGAATAAAATGTAAAAGTTTTTAAGATTTTTTAAAAAATTACTTGCGATAAAATTTTATGTTTTATTTTTAGTCTATTTAATCAAATATATATTTTAAGCAAGAATTTCTCTTTGACCCCTTGAGGTTTGGCATAATTACAGTCAGACCTCAAATATATATTGTAGGCTTAAATGTCGAAATGGTCCCTATGTTTTACTTTATTGGCCAATTTAGTCCATGTATTATTAATTTAGCCAATTTAGTCCATGTGTTTGTATCTGTTAACAAATTTGATCATTTATGTCAAAATTATGTTAAAACATAAAAAAAGAACACTTAAATTTAATTTAAAAATCTGTAATTAATTATAAAGATGTAAACTCAAATAATAATAATAATGCTAAATGATTAAAACCCACACAACCTCAACCTCCAAGGTTACGATGACCGACTATAAAGATCTTCGCGATTTGTCACAGAGAGAGAGAGAGAGAGAGAGAGAGAGAGAGAGAGAGAGAGAGTTGTAGTGGTTTAGGTGGGGTTGGAATGGCGGTGAGGGTGGAAATGGGTTTCGGGTGGCTGGGTTTGGAAAGTGGTTGAGGTGTGCGTGCGCGAAATTGGGGAAGGTGAAATTAAAAATAAATAAAAAAATCCAATTTTAGATTGAATTTAAAATTTTATAATCAATTACAGTTTTTTTAATTAACTTTAAATATTTTATATTTTATATTTTTAAGGGAATGGACCACATTGACTAACATATACACATACAAAGGACCAAATTGGCCAAATTAATAACACAGGACTAAATTGGCCTATCAAGCATTGTGCCATTGTGTGTTAGCTTGTTTGGAAAAATAAGCTTCATAGATTTCTAATAAGAGTCCCGGATCTCTCTCCTTCAGCTCCGTGTACTCGTCCCGGGAAGCAAGCTTGTCCATGCTGGCTGTGATCAGCGTCAAGGCTGCGTCGATGATCGGCTTAAAGTTATGCTGGTGCGCAAAGGTGTAGGTCGAAAGTGAATTGTCCAAGTTGAGGTTGGACACCAAGAACTTCTGGCAGAAGTCTTTGAGATGCTGCACCTGGTATTTTTCAGACATTACAAGGAGCTCACAGGCCAATTGCTGGTCGAGGCATACCTCAGCTGTGTAGAGGAAGTTGACGAAGGCGCGAAGGGCGTCGTAGGAGACATCGCCAATCTTGATGGTGCCACTCAGGCTTTCTTTCATCTCAATATCAAGCATGGCTCTCAACACTGGAGAACGGTTCGCCTGATCCAGTGAACGCCAAAATACATAATATTTAAGAGGAATTCAAAGAGTTCATTGAACAAAAGCCAGCTAGAATAATAATCTTTCCCCAAAAACCAGCTAGTAGCTAGCCATGAGAGAGAGAAAATGACTCTGGCCAAATTATTCCAATACTACAATTTCTGTATAGCCAAATCTTTTTTAAATTTAAAAAATAATTAAATATTGAAGATTAACATAAAAAACCCCTTTAGCCATTTCAGGTCAAATTTAGCTAAGTTTTGCCCAACTGTGCCGGGAGTTTCTTTGGAGCAAATGATCGAACAGCTGGTGGGCAACAACAGAGGGGCAGGCCAGGTTACAGTTTGAACAAAAATTAAGTGATCAAGTAAAGTAGCAGCAAGTTAGCGGAATGGGTACTGACCAAAACGGCCTTATGGGCCGGAACGGGTACGGGGTACTCGTCGTCGTCGTCGGCAAACAGAACGACGTCGGAAAAGGAAGCCGGCTGGGGCATCGTGAGAAAAGCGAGCTTGGCGTTGAGGTCCTCGTTGCACTGCTCGACCTTGGCCTTGAGGTCCTCGTAGCACTGCCTGCACGCGCTGCCCTGATATTTGGAGTACATGATCTTGCAAGATATGCAGGTCCTCATGTTGGGGTAGTCAAAGATAAAATCAACAAGAGAAGAAATTTAAAGCAAATGTAATTTCAATTTTCATGCATTGATCATTGGGCTGCCTGCCCTGCCTTATATATTAGTAGCTAGCTAGCTTCATTGGGCTCTTTCACTTTTCTTTTCCTTTGGAAGGGTCCCGCCACTAAGCTTCAATATCATTTGTAGAAAAATAAATAAATAATAATAGTAAAGATAATATTGATTGAGTTTAAAATTTAAAGATTAAAATGACATTTTCTAAAAATTGTAAAAAAAATTATTTGCAATAACATTTCATATTTTTATTTTTAATTTGTTAAAAATTAATATATTTGTCAATAGGGACTAGCCGAGTAGAAAAAAAACACTGACTTGCAAATCAATGATCTTAACCTTCATGACATCTTTGCAATGTGTATGAGAAAACTCCCTTTCTCCTTCCTAACTTTGGAAAAAAAAAATTATTATATCTATATTTTAAACTACTTATTCAAAATCATGGGAAAAAAAAACTGACAAGTAATATTGGAAGTTAAGGAGTACGGTGAGGCTCCATTTATGAAGAATTTTTTTCACTATTGGTACTTGAATTTTAACCGGTGTACATGAACTTCTAGTTTATCCCAAGTTGAAGTTCTCTTTTTGTCGATAAGATTTTTTTTTTTTCAAAAGGACTGCAAACAATAGGATGGTCAAATGCAAAACTCTGTCAAAAGTGTCACATAGACATTTAACGACTAGAAATAACATCTCACATCACTCCAACTGATGTGTCAAAGCTGATGTGGAATGAAGGCTAAAGGTTGAGATGTTATTTTTGACATCCCCAAAGCAAGATGTCAAATTAATATTTTATTATTTTTTCTTTTCTTTTCTTTTTAATTAAAAATAAATCAACACTCAAATGTAATAAATTAATAATTTAATTTGACATATCGGGTGGAATGTAAAGCCGTGTAAGATGTCAAATTACACATCAGCCATCAAATTTAAATTTGATGTTTGGTATTTGACATATCTCTTGGAGATGAGTACATCAAATGCACACAATAGGATCGATGGTCAAATGCGCACACACAGGGCATGATGCCCTTTCCAGCACTGCATTACATTAGCTGTTGAACAACTTTCACATAGAATAGAGACAATCTGCACACAGATCATTAACTTCATGACAAATTATGCCACCAGATACAGTCCAGAGTAACAAAAGCTAGCTCCAATTATGCCACCGGTAAGAATAAGAAAGGCTCCAAAATGCTCATTTGAAAACAAAGACCACATGCATCCAATTTATGTTCCATGTGCTACAACAAAATTTACCACCTGATATTTGTATATTTTTTAGTTCATCTATACTAAATATACAGAGAAAACGAACACTGATCGAAAGCTCAGGTCAGGATAACAGGAAATTCCTCACTAGACTATGTCTTCAGGGAAGAATCTTTCTGGGCAGCAGTATTGACCTGTTTGGAGAGATAAGCTTCATATATTTCAACTACGAGTCGTGGATCTTTCTCCACTAGCTCCACGTACTCCTCCCGGGTAGTAAGCTTGTCCATGTTGTCTGTGATCAATGTCAAGGCTGCGTCGATGATATGCTTGGCATTGTGCTGGTGCCCAAAGGTGTAGCTCATAACTGAATTTTCCCAGTTCAGCTTGGACACCAAGAACTTTTCACAATAGTCCTTGAGATGCTGCACCTGGTATTTTTCAGCCAGTATTAGCAGGTGGCAGGCCATGTCCTCATCAAGGCATACCTCAGCTGTGTACAGGTAGTTGACAAACGCGCGAAGGGCATCGTAGGACACATCGCCAATCTTAATGGTGCCACTCAGGCTTTCTTCCATCTCATTCTCAAGCATGGCTCTGAACACCGGAGAACGGCTCACCTGGATAAGTGTCAAAATGTTTAAAGAAATTCAGAGATGAACCAAAAAGGGACATATTTCCAAGGAACACGTGATCTAATCCAAATTGAAAGTCTTTCTACATGAACAATAACAACAACAAACACAAAACGAAGACCAATGCTCATAGATTCATAGCACAGTGTATATAATCAATCAAGTTTTGCCTAATACCTAATGAAAATAGTCAAACCCAAATTTACACATTCATGAAAAACCCAAAATTGATCAAAGATTCAAAATACTTGAACTACTGAGAAGGAAAAATTTTCTCCGGAGAAACAAAATAGTAAAGGGCAGGAACTTGAATGTACATTTCTAACAATCCACACACAGAAGACACACAAGTTGACAATCACTTTAAGACAATACCCTGCCAAAAGAGCCATATATCATTCTCTTCTCAAGCTAACAATTTTCCAGTTCTATGTAAACATGCCACATTTCATTCAGACAATAAACCAAACACAAGGTGCGCAAACTAAAAGGAACAAAACCCACAAACCCACCAAGAATTTACAACAAAACGGGGCCAATCAATCAACTTGGCGAAATGGGTACTGACCAAAACGGCCTTATGGGCCGGAACGGGTACAGGGGCCCCCGCGGAGGCATCCTCGGAGGCAACCAAAACGACGTCGGAGAAGGAAGCGGGGTGAGACCTAGCGCTGGGAGTTGGGGACCAGAACTTGAGGAAGGCGACCTTGGCCTTGAGTTCGTCGATCTCGCGCTTCAGCTCCTCTTCGGTCTCGTTGGCCTCCTCGTAGCACTCCTTGCACGTGCCGGCGTCATCTTCGTCGTAGAGATCCTGGCACGATATGCAGCACTTCATCTGATCGCAAAACTGATACACAGCACTTCAGCTCCTCTGCTCGCTTTTCCTACTCAAGTGAAAGTGACGAATCGAACAAAGCTCCGGTGGTGCTGATATGGCTTTGACAGCTATTGACTCTTCCGAGGAATGTGTGTATTAGTCTATAATAGTTTACACATAAAAGGTGACAACTTAGCTACCGTGTTTAAACTTGATGGATGAAAATGACTCTCAATTTGACACACTATGATTAACAATGGGGCAATAGGTAGGTCGGTATGCTATTTCCATCCCGCCTTAATACACGCAATACTCAATTCGACCAAAAATATGTATACATATATGAACGAAAAAAGCGTTATGAGCACAACATATTGAACACTATACTCGAAAATATCTCTAAATCCGTCTATATATTCAATTTTTATCCTCCACACACAACTCATTAGAAATAAAACTGATGAAAATTCTAGCTTCAGGATTCATTTTCAGATATGAGAAATTGAGTTATGGGGACAGATTTGGTGGAATGAAATACAATGTTAAGAGAAAGGCTTATTTACTGTAGTGCCCTCTGAAATTACGGTCAAATCTCACCTTACTCCTTGAAAGTTAAAATGACCCAAAATGCCCAATTGACCAAGGTTTGGTGGTTTACTTTACCCCCCACTGTTAACTCTGTTAAAAATGCTGACATGGCATGAATGGGACTCGCCTTTTTGTTGAAATGTATGCCACGTGTGTTTTATTCTTAAAAAAATTTATAAAAATAATCTTTTTTCTCTCTTCACTTTCTCCCCTCCGCCTCCCCACCTCCCACCCACCACGACATACCAACCCCTACCTACAAATCCACCTCAGTTTGAGAAAAATCATATTTGGGTTAATGTCCTGACAACTTACATAGAAATCTTTTTCATTTGAGTTTCAAAACTTTTGGGGATGAATCATCAATTTATCTGCTCCCCAATCCACATGCAAGTTCAGAAATCAAATTAAACCACTTGCGTCTTGCATTTTCAGTAGGTATTTCCAAGTCTCAAATGAAGAAGAAATCGAATCTCCTTCCAAATCAAACAGAAAATACCCAGAACCCATACCAAGTGACGAGGTCGTTTTGGACCTTGAGCACCTTGGTGACGAGCTCGGTCATAACTCGACGAAGCTTTCGGAGCTCCGAGATGACTGGTGGACCCTAGTGGTTCTGGATCTTGCGCAATGAGGGAGAGAAATGAGAGGAGTGTCGTGTCGGCAGGGTTGGATGATGAAGTGGACGGTGAGGATTGGGGGAGGTGTGGGTCCCATTTGGAGAGATCAAAGGGCTGAGATTAGAGGGCAGTGGTGGGGTATAAGAGGGAGGCATTTGGAGAAGAGGCCGCCGAAAACTGTGGGCGATTCTGTGAGGGCAGGGGTGGGGGTGTGTCGTGAGGGGTAGTTGTTTGGGCGGGGGAGAGCTGTCGAGTACAGACAGAGAAAGAGGGAGAGAGATAAGAGAGAAAAAAAGTACTTTTCTAAATATTTTTTCCTATTTGTTAAATTTTTTTCCCATCGGCACTTATGTGGCATACATTTTAGCAAAGGGATAGTCCCATTCATGCTATGTCAACGTTTTTAAGAGAAGTTTTTTCCAGAGTTAACGGTGATCCACCAAGCTTTGGTCAAGAGGGCATTTTGGGTCATTTTAACTTTCAAGAGATAAAATAAAATTTGACCGTAGTTTTAAGAGACACTAGAGTAAATAAGTCTAAGAGAAATTATACAGTACTATTATAGTACCAGTTGACATGGCTGATTGATTCTACAGTTGAATAAAATGTACTGCCGTTAACACCTCGTAACCACTGGAAAAAAAAAACACATGTTAACCACCATTGGTGCAAACCAGAAATACTCGACACTACTATTTTCTCTGGGGCTGCGCCACCTGAGAGTGACGACGTCCCTATGGTGGCTTTAACCGATGTCCAAACTCGTCGTTGCCCATCGCAGACTCACCGCCAAAAAGAAAAATAAAATAAAATAACAGACTTGGGAGTTTATCAAGTCACTTGCCCTATTCCTTATCGATTTTGGGCCTCAATTCAAAACGTTAGGATAGGTTCCATCGGCCTCCGCCTCATCTTAAGCTCTCACTAATTTTTTTTCCATATTCTGCCATGAGCGGTGGCTGACAAATTAAAAAACAACAGTAGTGTTGGCTACAATTGAATCTTGCGATTGCATATTTCCCATGAAAATTGACGGCTTGTTGGTGGTGAGGTACCCAACCAACCCCTTGTGCCTCCCACTGGCCATGAATCAGTGCCCGGAGCTTATTTATTTGGGGTTATGACCCAAAGTCAAATAATAAAATTGCACGCAAAATTTTCGATTTAAGACTGAAGCACTGAAGCAATTACGATATAAAGCCACCGTCGGATGACTTCAAGCTTTTGGCAAGGCCATCACAGAGTCTTAATGTTGGTAATTAATCTCTCTGGTTTTTTTTTCCGGTCAGAAAACCAGTCTGTATGGTTAACGTTGATGCTAACGACGGTTTTGTTGATGTGTATAAAGTTGTACACATGTCCGAATTTCATTGGACCGTAGAACCTATCAGCAATGCCCGTTGGTACTACAGTAGTATTGTATAATTTCTCCAATTTTAGATCTTGTATTAGCGGAGCTCACATTACATCGATGTGAGTGTGACTAACTATTGACATACTCAGATATAGGAAACGACAAGTCGCTGTGATGACCAACCAACGTCGTAAACTGATTATTTATTATTATTATTATAACAAATAATTAATTTAATTAGAAAACCGCCCGAGTCGCAGTTAGTTGCTTCTGCGTCTGTCAAAGTTTAGAAATTCTGAGATAAGAGTGTAGTCTCTTATTCTACTGAACCAGGTCTCTCACAAGTCACAACAAACAGCCCTCGCTCCTCAGATTCTAGGGTTTCGATTCTCTTTTGGCGCCCAAATTGTCCTTTCAGGTCAGCTCTGTTCTCTCTCTCTCTCTCATGCTTTCTTTTAATCTTTAAGTTATGTTTAAATTTTGTTTATTTTGTCATCTGTTTGGTTGCCGAGAACATGCATGAACAGAAAATAAAACCAAGTCGTAATTTTAAGGTTCTCAGTGTGTTCGACCTAGGCATCAGATTACGTCTCAAAAAGGTGTCAAAAGATTTGGTCTTGGGTTTAGCTTAGCCGAATTTTACATTTCCCGAAGATACCCAAAGCAACTGAAAGCCTAAGACTTTGGAGTTTCATATTTTCTCGGCTACCCAACAGTAGGGGATTTTACTATGACGGCTTTGGCTGTGAATGTTTCCTGGTTTATTTTGTTGGTTTTCTGAAATTTGCTAAGTGCTAAAGATAATGGAATCTAGGTGGCTGCTGTGAAACCCTAGTTTTTCAAACTGTGACGTTTGAGAAATTTAGGGTTCTGTTTTGTAATGGAACTTGAAGAAGGAAAAAGCAATGGTGGTAGTACGGAGTGCACTGAGAAAGTTCAGTCCTTGACGAGTGAAGCCAATGGTGGTAGTACGGAGTGCACTGAGAAAGTTCAAACCTGGAAGAGTGAAGCCAATGATGGTAGTACGGAATGCACTGACAAAGCTCAATGCTTGAAGAGTGAAGCCAATGGATTTGAATTTAGGGTGTGTAAAAATTTTGCCAAAGGCCGCTCAGATGCAAGTGAGGTTGTTCGGACTTACAAGAGGCGGAGGCGTGCAGGGTCAAGTTGGGATAGCAGGTCACAAGAATATGGGGGAGCTGATGTGGAATCATCGAGTCAATTGGCAGACCAGGTGCTAACTCTAGCTCTCTTCCTCTCTGCCAAAATTTGTGTTGACAGAAACCATATTTTTTATTTAATTAGCCAATTTGGAAACCAGGACTGCAATATTCTAGTATGTTGGCTGATGTCCCACTGTTTCGAGTTGAATTTTAATGGAATTACACCTGAGCAATGGTAAGCTGTTTTTAATATAAACAGAAGAATCAGCTTATAAATGATACCAGTAATAACAAGGCTCATGAATTTTGGATCCATAGTGAATTTAAAATTTCGTTTATAACTCAGAACAATGAAAATTTGGTTGGCAATATAAACAAATAAACGTAACCATCAGTACTCTTCTCATTAGCGCATTTGAGAGCTCATTAGGCTATTTAGGGGAATTTGTTAGTACCACAGGTGGAAAATGAAAGAGGTTTATTTTACAGGGATAATTTTGAAAGGGAATTGATTGGTTGCAAATTGAAATTTTGTGCTTTGCTAAGGGGTTTATTTGACCTGAAGCTTTCAAAGTTGTGATTAGAACCTAGAACAATTATGAGCATTTTTCCCTGATAAAAAAAACCTTGTTTGTATGATTATTCCTTCCTGATCCTTATTGGCTCAACAAGTACCAGAACCATCTATTACATATGAATTAATATATTAGAAAATGAAAGGTTGAATGCTATAAGCTCCATTGATGGAATTTCTGTTGAACCAATAACTACAATAGTTGATACTGCTTATCAAGATGGTGATGAGCTCCGGTTTAGTTGTTCAGATATTGATACTTTAAATATGGCTAATTTGGCTATGATGAGCTACAAATGTATTGTAATCTACATTGTTATTGAGAAAAGAGATATAGATAATTTGCGGGTTCCATCCCTTCAATCCTCAAATTTTTCTATCCAGTGGTACTTTTTGGTCCTTGTTTTTATCAATCTATGTTTGATTTTTTGCAGCGTCTAAAGGAACCTGTGGGCACAGCAATACAGAATAACTCTTGTGAGCAAGTCCATCTTCAAACGAATAGTTCAGATGCTTGCTCAGATAGGCACTGGAGAAATGCTGTACTGGACAGCATGTATCAGTCTTTAGGTGATGATGAAGGTGGTGTACAAGTGTGCATCCGAGAAGCAATTGTACATTTTCGAGACATTGATCATACCACAAGAGTTAAGGTTTGTATTTATTAGCTTATAGCCGAAGTGTTTTGCCGATGATAGTTGATTTACAGGCTTATAGCCATTCCTTCGTATTTATTGGTTCAATTTGATTTTTAAATTTTCTGTTATCATTTTCATTTTGTGGTTGTTTTGCAGGAATCTGGTGATCATGATGCGGATAGGCATCAATGTTTTTTTCCTACGCGGTCTATCTTGAATGGACCTCATAGTGCAGCCAATGGGCATGCTGGTGTTATATTGAATGGATCTTCAAATAAAACAAACTATCCTACAGTTACTGCAATGTGTCAGCATGCTTTTTTTAATGTTTTAGTTTCAGAAAAGTTTGCTTCATTGTGCAAACTGCTGTTGGAAAATTTTCAAGGAATCAAGGCAGACAGCATTTTCGACCTTAATCTCATAAACTCAAGGATGAAAAAGGGGGATTATGAACATTCGCCTATGCTATTCTCACATGATATGCAACAGGCAAGTTGGGTAGTCTTATGTTAAGTGTAGTGGTCCTGTTATCTATTATTAATAGTAATTAATTGGATGTCTAGATTTTGCTTAGTATCATGGTGTAGATGTGATAACTATGTAATGTCAAGTTTAAATGTTTCAAGTATTGCGTTAATGATTCCAAAGCATGTTTGTGAACTTTGGAAAACTTGAAAAGTAAATCTACTTTATATGGTTATCATATTGGAATTGATTATGATATTTATTGTCAGAATGCTCTCATTAACTGGCTTCAGTTGAAGGAATTGTTTCAATCATGAAAGTCTTAAAGTCTGAAATGTCTTATCATATTCTACCTTCTTTGTTTTAGATACTGCTAGACGTGTGGTTCAAGTTCTCTGGCTAATCTGATTGCATTGTTTGACATTGGCTAATCTACATATGTATTACAAGGAATTCTAGGCTCGGGCCATAATTATAGTCATGTAAAATACCTTGAAGGTGATCTCTTTTTTTTGTCTCATTTTATAATGTTCCAAACCTGTATATTTTTCCAGATTTGGAGAAAGCTTCAAGGGATTGGTACTAACTTGATTTCTCTTGCAAAAAGCCTCTCAGACATGTCAAGGAGTTCTTACAAAGAACAGGTTAGATGATTCAGTTGAAGCGATGTCTGGTCCAAGTACTTGAGGATTTAGTTTAATGAAATCTATTGGTTCTAGAATATGTTCACTCTGTGGATAGGGTTATAAGCCTGATCTCACAACGAATTATCTTATCTGTCATCCCAGGTGGGAGGTTCAGTCCGAAATACATTTGAAGGTGGAAAAGATGAGGTACAAGAGTTTTCTAGTTTTAACATAGAACTGTGTTTGATTGGATTGCTGATGTCTGGTGAAATGCCTGATTGTATGTGCATTTGGTACCTTGGAAATATATAAATTCAGGAATTTTTTTCTTCAGAAAACTCCTAATGTTTGTATTAAAGTTCTACTAATTGCATGCATAAAACTCTTTGTGAATATCTAGCATTCTATATTCTGGAAGAAAAATACTCTAAAAGTAGTTGTTTCTTTCTTTTTCATTTTTTCCAACTAATGCATATGTGCCTTTTGCATTATTGTAACTTTTAGGCATTTAGCCTGTCTGCATATTGGAATTTTGATGTCATTTTGAAGATGTAAAAATGGTGAATTGTCTAATTATTATAATGAGATTGGGTCACCTGACAGTGAGAATTCTGAAATCAATTTTGGTAGTTTGGGTCATTATCAATCTAACTAATGTCCGGCCAAAAAAAAAAATAACCAAGTGTATTTCATTTATCACGCTTACGATTCTATTTTAAGGAATTGATCAGCTGGTTTAAAGGGGTACTAACTTGTGTCACTTTAAAACAGTTGTACGCCTGCGAATCTGACTTCCACACTAAACTGGAGCAAACAGAGGATTGTGCTGTGCACAGTGTATACAATTGCATGCATTGTGGAGGCAAGGCAGATGGGAAGGATTGTCTAGTATGTGATTCATGTGAGGACATGTACCATATCTCCTGCATTCAGCCTGCTGTCAAAGAGATTCCTCTAAAAAGTTGGTATTGTTTGAGTTGCACTGCTAGTGGTGTTCGATCATCCCATGAGAACTGTGTTGTGTGTGAGAAGTTGAATGTGCCCAAGGCTCTAGTTGATGGAGTTGGAGGTGAAAGTGTTTCTACAGATGAAGAAACAGTCAATGAGATGGGAGAGAATTCAAATTTTAATACAGATGATGGAATCCAACCTTCGGAAGAGAGCAAAGACTTGAACATCTGCAAAACTTGTGGAATGGAGGTAGAAAAAAGTGACAAGTTGAAGATATGTGGTCATCCATACTGCCCAAAGAAATACTACCATGAGAGGTGTCTGACAACTAAGGAGTTAAAATCATATGGTCCCTGTTGGTACTGCTATTCTTGTCTGTGCAGAGCTTGTCTCACTGATCGAGACGATGATATAATTGTTCTTTGTGATGGCTGTGATCATGGGTACCACATCTATTGTATGGACCCACCACGCATTGGCATTCCAAGCGGGAAATGGTTTTGCAGAAAATGTCGTGCAGCAATTCAGGTCATACGCAGGACAAGAAAGGCTTATGATAAGAATGAAAAGAAACAGAAAAAGAACGGTGAAGGATCAAGGAAGTTGAATGAAAAACGAGCTGACAGGGAATCAGGACAAGGTAGAGGGGGAATGGAGTTGCTTGTATATGCAGTCAAGACTCTAGATCATGAAGAAGATATGATGAGTAAAAAAGAATGAGACAGTTTTCAGGACTGACATGTGTTCTGTGAGTAACAATTTTGATTTACTAGGCATGTCGCCCAAGGCTAAGAATTCTGTTTGTCTGCGTTGTTTAGGGGCGACATTTTCGTAGGTTGTTAACTCTGATAGATTATGCTGACTTTTGGATGCTTAACTTAGCAAAAGACGTGATTCTAAAGGCTGTATATGTAGTTTGGTCCTTGCTAAAGTGCACAATTTGAGAAAGCAATACAGAAGTTTGGTAAAATGGCCATTTTAACAGGTCACCATTGAACATACTGGTGGTTTGTGTTTTGTAAGTATTTACTTTTGAAGGGTATCAGAAAGTAACTCCACACTTCTGTTGTAAAACGATGAAAGTTTATCAAGTTTAAACAGTTTATATAACATGTTAAGTTTCTTACATCTTCCATGTCTTGTGTTTTTACGTGCTTTGATAAGGTTGTTTGTTATTTTAGGCTTATTTATACCAACACCCCTTGAAACTACGGTCAAATCTTGCTTTGTCTCCCCCAAAACTTAACTATGATGATGTGGTATGGATATTTTTGTAATTTCATACACATGGATGGCCAGTGGAGTTCACATCCACATAGATAAAAATATAGATTAGAAAAAAAAAAAAAAAAAAAAAAAAAAAAAAAAAAAAAGATAATATAATAATAAATAAAAAAACTAAAAATATATATTGGAAATCAAGGATCGGTCCAAGGATGTGATTAATAGCGGAAGTGAAAAGGAGGTGGAGTCGGTGTTGTACTGGAACCCGGCGGTGAATGAGGCAGCTGTGGTGGCTAAGCCGGACAAGTTCTATGGGGTGACGCCTTGTGCTTTCGTGTGCTTGAAGAGTGCAGGGTTGGATTGCAGTGTTCCTAGCGAGGATATAATGGAGTTCTGTAAGGAAAGGTTGCCTCATTTCTTAGCGCCAAAGACGGTGGTGTTCACGGAGGCGCTGCCCAAGACGTCCACCGTACAGAAGTTCGTGTTACGAGAAATTGCCATGTCTGTGGGTTGAGTAGACTTTAGACTTGATGAGCTGTGTTGTTTTATTATTATTATTTTTTTATAGCAGCTCTGCTGTTAACAACTACATATTTTTATGTTTCGCAATTGTTAAAAGTAAGCAATAAATTATATTTAATTTAACAAGATACAACATTATATAGAAATTAGATTGTCCTGCCAGGGACTTTCACGCATGAACCAAAACTAAGCTGAAGTCCACTTTTCCTCTACTATATACACAATTCAACAAGAGTTTTCATGTCTTCTCACCAACTGCGTAACGGTTTCTTGTCGGGCTTAAGCCTGATGAATGGAGTTGTTTTCGCCTTTTAACCAGTTGCATCGCTGTATGTCTGTCATCTCGAGCCTCCTCAGAATCAGGCTGTACATACAGTTTAAATTCAACTTATATTCTTAACATGAAACAAAATATATAGAGATTTGTACCATATATTTACATTCTGTGTGTAAATATTAGCTTAGCACGTCACGTTGCAAATGCCAGACTCCAATGGAGGTCAGAGCTCCAACACAATGCAATGACAAAACAGTGGAAGAAAAACTCATCTCTCTAATATACATAAATACAATCATCCACTTCAATCCTACTTGAGGGAATAATAATTATATTAACGGCAAAGATGTTGCAGTTCTTAGTAGCTTAGCACATTATATTGCAGTGCCAGACTCTACTGAAGGCCTGTTGCCCAAACACAATGCGATCACAAAACAGTGGAAGAATCTTTGAGAACTACAGAATATAATATCTTGAAACCATACCTTGATGGCTAATGCACTGTCGAAGCTTTCAATAGCACTATCAGGCTCCCCAAAGTTTAACTGTGCTCTGCCAAGGGTAACCCACGCCTGAACATATCCAGTTTGTGAGAAACAATTCACACTAATAAAAATGCTAATTGTACCAAGGATTATCACCAGAAAAAAATTCTAACAAGCATATAAATGAAACGTCCATCTTCTTCAAATTTTCCTAAAGGAAAGAGCACCATCATAACTTGGAACTCGCACATGAAAACCTATTGAGGTGAGAACCAGGTCAGAGAATACAATACTGACGTACCTCATCCCATGAAGGCTTCAACTCAGTGGCTCCTGTCAATTTTTTCCACATATTAAGTACAACAAAGCACTCACAATTGAACCAGAGAAATCAAAATAAGCACAAACTAAACGTAAAAGAGAGCTCGAAAAGTAAATGTGTGTGAAGGTGTGGACATAATATAGTGAATGAGGACCAAAGAGTGCAGAAAACTAAAGGGTTTCACAAAGTTTTGGAACCAAATAACGAACTTGGAAACAAAATATATCATGGTGGCCTGAGAAGACCAAAAAAGCCAATATCATGCATATGCACCTAGTAAGAAAAAAGGCATACATATATGCAAATACACACACACAAGCAAAACCCAAAGTGAGATAGAATTGAAACGCACGAGTTGCTGCCTTTACTGCATTCCATGGATCTCCAATTTCAAGCAAAACTTGTGCCTTCTGTTCATGTAAAACAGCATTTTCGGGCATCAACATAAGAGCGGCCTCCCATTTTCCCAATGCTTCACGGTACTTTCCACCCTTCAAAGATCGGTTGATGTGAGAAAGATGCCATAAGTCATCCAGATCAGGAATCAGCAGACATTACTTTTCATCATGATCATAATTATAATTACTCGTACATAACGAGAAGATTCCCCCCTTTTTTTGGCTGTATTACTATTTCTTGGAGGCAATTGGCATGAGTTCCTCCAGCAAGAAATTATTGACAAAAGTATAATATGGCACGCCACTTCCACAATATTATTATTATTATCTGCTAGTAAGAAGCTATTAACTAAAAAAAAATCATGGTTTACCAATTAGGGCAGCTATAACTTTCCATTTCTCAGCTTTTGTTTCATAAATTTTTACTTCAACAACTGGGCAGCTACAAAACCTCACCACAATTCTAATAACCATAGTTCTTGGGGCAGCCTAAATTGGGAAACTGGGTTCCACCCATTATCACATCAAAAACAAATTAACACATTCAAAAACCCCATAATCTACCTTCAAATCAAAAGATAACAAAACTTGGGTAATTCCGTTTTCCTTCTGCAATAACATAATAGCAAAATCAAAAATCAAAAGAACAAATTTAGGGTATTTATTACCTCCGCCAGCTTAGTTCCCTCGGCTTGAAAGGAGTGGAAGAGTTTTGCAGCGTCTGAAGAATCTGATGGCTCGCTCTGAGCGTCGAGTGGCTCATGGTGTTCTTCCTGGTTGAGCTCTGTATGGTTTTGATTCTTATTGGGATCGTTTGATGGGTCTTCTTGATTGTTGTGTTGGTCGTTTTGCTGCTCAAAAGGGAGATTTGGGTACTTTGATATGATGCCCAAAGGCCGCTTCTTGTTGTTCTTCCAAGCTATTTTCATCTTTCTCACTGGGACAGAAATCAGTTGCAGGCTACAACTTGTACATTGATTTCGGGTTCGCCCGAATCTAATTGACATGGTTTGAACCCGGACCCAAGATTAAACCCCAGTATAGGATATAGGCCCTCTTCTTTTTTTGGGTCTGCTAGGCCCCTCTAATATTTTAGCCCAGCCAGTCATAATCACAAACCCTTTTTCTTTCTTGAAATAAAAGATAAAGCCTAAGAAATGGAAACAAAACCCACACCCCCAGCCCCATTCTAGTATGGTGAGATTTTCCCCCCAATGTTAAAGAAGTCACGAGTTGGAATATCGCCAGTTGGTTAAGGCAGTGAGTCTGCCTTCTTGCACTCAAGTTTGAATCTCTCTTCTCATAAATTAGATTAATTTAGAGTAGTTTAAACTATTGCATATGTAATATATATATAAATATATATATATATATATTCAAGCTTTCACCCATTGTTTGTATCAAAATTGTTACATGTTTACAAGTTTTCTTTAAAAGGTTAGGTTGTTGTCATCATATACATGCCAGCTAAGAAGTCAAGTTTGAAACATCAACTTCAAGCTTCTAGAGATTTTATCTTCATTTGTTGTTGGGTCAATTAGCGTCAAAAGCAGCCAGAATTACCCACCAAAGGTGAGAGGGTGGATGACCGTTTTGATGTCATCAGAAGACAAAAGCAAAATACAAGGATTGTTAAAAACTGAAAACCAGAGACACTGAGAGTGACACATTTCCCTCACTTACCACTTAAATACGTGTAAATATGGCACGTACCAAAAATACATGTGGAAATAAAATATTGTTGTATTGTAATTAACGATTATACTCAAGGGCGGAACTATTCTATGACTAGGATGGACTCTAGCTTAGTGCAAAATTTGGGAAAAATGAAATTTATTACTAATTTTTAGGCATTACACCTCATTTTACAAAAATTAGTCTAACTCGTTCAAGCAAAAACTAGCATATCATATCCAAGCAGATCTCCAATCGGCTATATTTCATAGATTTCAATGGAATTCTTATTTGGATCTTTACCCATATAAGAAATAATAACCCACACTCACAAAAATTTACGGTTCCGGCCTTGATTATGCTTCTACAGTCTACGGAGCCATGTATATAATACGTGTCACAAGGCTGATTGGTTCCATTAGATTGCTTAATGCCCAAGGCTCCATTTGATTGGCTGAAGCTTAACACATTTACAAAAATGCCATCGTTCACAACACAGCCAAAATCCCAACTTATATAAAAAGAGACTTGGGCCTTTCTTTTGGCCCTCCCTTTTACCCAACACTTAAAAAAGAAGAGGGTGGTGGTGAGAATTGAGAAATCAAACAAGAGGCAGCAGAAAAATGGTAGCCAAGAAGATGACAAAGAAGACAGAGCAGCAGCTGGTGGGTGAGGAAGTGATCAGAGGCAAGCCCAAGGGAGAGGCTAATTGGTTCAAACCAAAGAAGGGTAGTGTTTTTCCTGCAAGGAGAAAGTTGGTGAAGACTATGGCTTTTGATACCATAGTGAAATGGGTGGGCTCTGTTTTCTGCCATGGAGCCTCAGCCGCCACCACCATGACCAAAATCCCCTGCCTTTCACAACCCAGAATGCCAAATTCCAAGAAATGCAAGCAGATAGTTCCATTGTGAATTGGAAAGTCGAATCAAATCCATGCCTTGAAAGAAGTCACCTTTTCAGTTCTGTTAATTTATCACCCCACACCACATACTCACTTTCTTCTATTTTGTTTTTGCCCTTTTATTGTTTTCTCTTTTGGATTCATCAGGATGCAGGATCCATCAATTTGTGTATCTTTTTTAGCTTTTTTTAGTATATGTCAAGGTTTGAAAGGGAGAGGGGAGGTGCTATTGGGGTTTTAACGTGAAACCACTGATCTGAAAACAAATGCTCTTACCACTGAGCTATGTACACACGTTCGCGTGTATCTTTTTGCTCTTAGTTTTGATGAATTATGAAGCACTTTGAGTTTTTTGCTTTAAAATTTCTCTATTGTTCACATAGTTTGATATGACAAAATGATCATGAGTTTGTATGGAAGAGGAATGAAACCCATGATATGCATGCCCCATAGCTGATCATAGCCAAAACAGTTGAAGACCCCACAAACCTCATATTTCAAAGAGAGGAGAATGATGAATCAATATCTGATTCTTAATTCTCAAGTCAAAAAAGTCTCTTAAAAAAATTATTATGCCAAAAGGAACTAACGGCATAAAACAAAAAGAAGGAAACTTAAAAGCTTTGGTTTAATTTAATTTATCATCTTAAAACAAGTAATTATCAGCTCTTTTCATGCATGAAAGGTACTTTACCATAACCCACCCTTCCAAATGTCTTAATTATAGTATCAGAAATGGAAAAAAAAAGTTCAAGTGGGTCCTTCATTACGGACAAGGAATTAGAATATTCTCATTCTCATTAGGCACATGCAGGACTGCAACAAAGCACTATAGTTAGAAGAGTGGCCTGAAGACGCCAAAGCTTTACAACAATTTCTCCTCTTTCTGTTGTCCCAGTTCTTTCATTTTGATTGTTGTTGGAGCTTGGTACTGTGTTTTTGTTTTTATTGGAAAATAAAACAGTGCAAACAACTGAATTTATGGCATGTTTATTTCCAATTCATTGATTTAGGTCTTTATGTAATTCTTTTGGTTCAATAGAGTTTACTTTTGCGCCGCGGCAATGGAATGAAATGGCACACTTGATTGCATCCTTTGTATCTCAAGAAGGGGGTACTCACTAGTTGGATGAGGTGGACACCGATTGATTTTTTGATACTTTAGCTAAAGATATAAATCTTACTATTCGTTTTCAATAAAATCTTCCTCATCGTTTGACAACAAAGAAACAATTCATTGATTTCCTTATCAATAACTTCTCTCATTTCTTATAAGTAAACATGATTAATTATTTCAAAAAATTAGATTTACCATAAAAGCGAGCCTAGCCCAAAGAATAAGTATGGAAATAATCAAATTAATCGCAATCAAGCCCAAAGCATTTGCTCTCAAGTCTCAACAAAGCCACGAGAATTTATCAAAAATAGCAAAAACTTGACCCCTAATTTCAAAAATGTCAGTTTTTGTAAAAAATTTCAAATATAGCAGAAAACTCACCTAAATAAACACAAATACCCTCAAATTTAAAACCCACATAAACCTAAAAAAGAAAACCCTATTAGATTGGGAATCTTTGTACGTAGAGTTCATTTGCAAACGTATTGCTGTCATAGTCAAACAGTGAGTGCAGTTCTTCCTTGGTTCTTCGTTCAATTTCTTCTTCATTTCTTTGTTTATTCTTCATCTATATTTATAAAATTTCAATTCTGGTTTTGCTGACTTAACTCTTGAGCCCTATCCAAAGTGCTATGATTTAATATCGTCAATTCACTTTGAGCCTACATCAAAGGTTAGTCCAGATAGGCTTGGAAAATTATCAAGTCTAGTAATATGATGATTCTGACATATGTGTAGCAGAAGATGTAATCACATGCTGATGTTATTAGTTCATCAATATGGACCTTCGACTAACTTGGATGTGTCTAAGGTTTATTTGGTATCCATTAAGTTTTGTAATTTTTCTGTTTCATTTTTGAGTGAGAGGAAGAAATTATACTTGTGCATTGATTCAATCATTTTCTGAATTTTTGGTTCTAAATACTCTTTTTTTTTGCCAAATAAATACATACATTTTATTTGGAGACAAATGGGAGAGAAGAAGATGAGAAGAAGAAGAAAAGAGACATGCAGACGGAAGAAGAAGAAAAGGGAAAGAGAGATGGAGAGAAGAAGAAAGAAAAAGAGAGGGAGTGATGCTGGAGACAAATGGAAGAAGAAAGAAAAAAGAAATAGAGAGGTGATTGGAAAAGTGTTTGAAGGAAATATTCCAAAGTTTTATTTAACATGGTTTTTTTTATAGGTTTATGTGGGTTTTAAATTTGATGGCATTTATGTCTATTTAGATGAGTTTTCTGCTATATTTGAAATTTTTTTTTAAAAACTGACATTTTTGAAATTAGAGATCAAGTTTTGGCTATTTTTGATAAATTCTCCAAAGCCACCCATGCATTTGGCCATTATCAGAAGGGTAACTAATTGAAATTTACCAAAATGAGAGCCCCAGCATACCCAATTTAGTATCCCTATAACATCTTCATTTTGATTTTCCAAATTTGAACACAATCCTTCAAATAGTAATCAAAGCCATTGTTCAGACCATAAAATTTTATGAAAATGACTCCATCTTGACAAGCATATCTTTCCCTTTTTCCCTTTGATCTTTGTGTAATGATCCAATGAGAGAGGGCAAAGGCACCCACCACTAGGAAGCTCCAATAAAATCATCTGAACTTTTCTGTTCTCCCATAAAATCATCTGAACTTTTCTGTGCTCCAATAAAATCATCTGAACTTTTAAAAAACTCTGATACATATTCTTTTTCCATTTGGGTCTCTTTGGTGTGTGGACTGAAAAGGTTTAATCAACTTTGTGAACCAGACACAACCATAAACTTCCCTTATCACTTTGTGAGCTCCTTTTGCTTTTTGACGTGTCCATATTTTCAAAGACTTAGGGATTTGGTAGTTACACTGTTGCAATCAGCGTCATTCCATGGAAGAAACTCATCTGTTATGGCAACAGCAGAGAATGATCCATCCAAATTAATCATGATAGTGTATAAACAATACTTAAATTCTGATTTAAAAACTCTAAATTGAACACGTTTTATAATTTGACTGTATTTGTAACAATGTGGTGTTACCGACGATGGAAATTCGTGGTAATGGGTCATATTCTTGTCGTATCATTTTTCGGTTGTGTTAAAAACTAACCAATAGCCTGAACGACCCATTTCTAATTATGATGTGTTCAGATTGATCTGTGAAATGTGAATGAAATTCTTTTAACCCTAGGTTTGCCTTACTACTAAAAGTTCACTTAATTATAAAATACACACAAAATCAGAAAGTGCCTTTTATATATTCTTTTAACCCTAGGTTTGCTTTTCTGCTGCCTCTTATTCTACTCATAATTAGACGATTGTTTACCCTCTGGCCACTTGCCACTTTTAAAAGTGCCCAAAGACCGACCCCAAAAGCTGAACCCTCTCCCATTAAGAGGTGAAATGCATTTGACGACCTCTAATCGTTCCCAAATGCATTCTCCTTTCTTTTTCTTTTTTTAATTATTGTTTCTCTTTCTTCTTGCCTCCATCTCTCTCTTGCTATACACGTGTCCACAATTTGCCCTTGCAAGTTGCAAGTTGTAGCCCTTTTTTGTGCCCTAAACATGCTCAATTCAATTGCTCATAAATAGAAGCTCAAGGCCTCAAAGTTCTTGCAACTCATCAAACACATAAACACTACTGCACACTTACAAACCAGAGCCCAAATATTAGTGGTAAAACAGAGGAATCCAAGTGAGGAAATGGCAGCAATCAACACAGAGCCAGAGCAAGAGCCTAAGAAGAAGGCAATGAAAAAGAAGAACCCAACTGCAATTGAGGAGGTGGTCTTGGGGAAGGGCAACACAACAACATGTTGTAACAAACCAGAGATTGCATTTGTAAGTCCAGCAAAGAGGAGGACAGTGAAAAGGATGATGTTTGATTCCTTTGTCCATTATGTGTCCTCTTCTCTTTCTTGTATCTGTGATGATCCTGTTGGCTCTGTTGAACCAAAAAAGGAAAAAGTCCAAATACCCAAATGACCCCATAGCCATAGCCATAGCCATAGATGGTCATGTATCAGAGTTTGATGCAATATACTTAAAAAATAAAATAAAGCCATCTACTAATAATAGATATGTTTTCTTTTCCCTACTTGTTGGAATTAAAGTTTTAATTATTTGTTTCTTCCTGTTTTTCTTTTCTTCTTTTATGTGGGTGATCAAAATCAATTGCTTAATTGTGGCTAACCATGTTCCTAATTTACTTGTTCAAATCAAATTTTGTATGAGTTTATCACACACACACGCTCTATCATGATGTTATAGGATTCGAACCTGAGACCACTAATATACAAGTCAATGTCATTTTTTACTGAGTTAGAATCCGTTTGACTACACACTCATGATTTTGAGAGAGTGCAAAAAGAGAAAAACTGAAGTTAATTGAAAATTGAAAGAATTAATATTGTAAAAGCAGCAGGACTTTTGCAAGAAAAAAGGATCAAGAGGAGGGACTTGAGTCTAGTGGCTTTTCTTACCCCACTTTTGGCGCGTAAACGTGGGTACTATCGCAACAAATACAACTCAGTACACGTGTCACTTGTTACCTTGAATGCTTAGCTTAGTGAACAAGCTCGTTCTGGTGAAATTACATAATTGGCCTTCATATTGGTGCCCTTGGCTTGGGGCTTGGGATGTTTTAAGAGGCATTTTTGGGCCTTTTGCCCTCTCCCTGTTTACCGAAATCTGAGAGAAAGAAACTAGGTGTTGAAAAAGAACCGAAGAGAGAAAGCAGCAGAAATGGAGGTGGATCAGGTGAAGACAAAGAAGAGAGAGCCTAATTATGGGTTCAAACCCAAGACGGGAAGTGTTTTTCCATCGAAGAGAAAGTTGGTGAAGAAAATTTTTTTTTTTTTTTTTTTTTTTTGCCCCGCGCCACCCCCCCCCCAATTTGGAGTTGGCTTGAACAGGACTGAGAATCCATAAATTTGTGCCACCCATAGCTAGCAGCCACATGGCGTCGTCTGGATTCTCAGATCGGATTTTTTCCTCCAATCCAACGGCAGCGAATTTTTGTGCAATAAAATAATGAAAAAATATATAAATTTTTTTTATAAAAAAAACCCCAAAATTAATGAATTTTTTTCTATAAATACCAACCAATACTCTTCACTTTTAACACCAAATTCTCATACATTTTCGTCTCTTTCAACTATTATTCACTTTCTATTTAATATTTTTTTCACTTTCAAGTTCTATTTTTCCGAAATCTTATCCGAAATTTTATTCCGATTATGAGATATGAATTTTATAATAAAGATTGACACGTAAGAACCTAAAAATCTAATCTGAAAATATTATCAAAATTAATTGTTTAGGTAAAAAAATATGTGAAAAAAACAAAAAAAATAAATAGTATTTGCCATGGCAAAGGACAACTGCTAAAAACATACATTGTTTTTTGCAAGGGCAGCCACTATTCATGTGAATAGTAGCTGCCCTAACCCCCCTTATCATGGCAATGGGCAAACTACTGGAAGTGCTCTAATATTAGCCTCCCGCATCAGTCCCGCATATTGAACCCTTGCAAATTGCAACGGAGAAAAACTGGTAGGAAGGAGGAATTTCATATCTAGTCCACAATTCTTGTACTTTTTGAGAAACATCCAAGCAGTTTCCATAGTGATCGATAGTTATAATATGTGCCGCAAACGACTAGTCAAATGTGTACAACCCTTTTGAATCAAAAAGTAGATAAATATGGGGTTATTTGGAGTTACCCAGCTCATCTCATGTGCCAAGGAAGGAAAGTAATAGGACAATTGTAGCAAAATCACACCACTACAACTTAAAGAGAGAATTTGGGCCTTCTGTCAGAGAGCAGAGAGAGGGAACACAGAGAGAGACAGAGAGAGCCAAAAAGACCAGAAAAATGGTGGCCAGGCAGCAGAATTCAGGTGAGGGAGTGATCACAACCAATTATTGGTTCAAACCCAAGAAGGGTAGTGTTTTCCCAGCAAAGAGGAAGTCGGTGAAGACAATGGTTTTTGAATCCATGGTGAAATGGGTTGCCTCTGTTTTCTGCTGTGCGCTTCCTCCTCCTCCACCTCCCTCTGGAGCCTCAGCCAACCAACCCAACATGACCCCCGTGGGCAAAGTAGCAAATTCCAAGAAATTCAAGCAGATAGCACCACAGTGAATTGGAAAGGGTGACAAAAGTCCAATCAAATCCATGCCACCCCTGAAGATTTCAGTTAATTTCCTATTCCATATATGTGGGTGTGGGTTGATAAATTGATAGAAGTTCCCCTATCCTATTCTGTCAATTTATCACCCCACACCAACATTCACAGTTTCTGTTTTCTTTTCTTTCCTTGTTTTTGGTTGATTTGGAATTTGCTTCATCAGGATTGATGATCCATCAATTTGTCTGCTGTAGCTTTTAGTTTCAAATTCAATGAATAATCAAGCACTTTGAATTTCCCAGTTTCTGGTGCCATGCCAACCAACTATATTTTTACTAGTTTGGAGCTTTTAACAGTTACTTAGATTTCCCAAAATGATCATACATGTTTGTTTGGAATTGGAAGAGGAATGATGAATCCAAAAAACTTAAAGACCCCACAATTTACAAACCCGGTATTCAAAGACAAAAGAATGATTGATGTTCTTTTTTTTTGGCTTGAACACGACTGAGAATCCATCAATTTGTGTACACCAGCTTTTAGTTTTAATGAATTCCTCTTGCTTTTTTGAGTTCCCAGTTTCTGGTGGTAACTAATTTTCCAAGTTTGGAGCTTTTGACAGTAACTTTAGATTTCCCAAAATGATCATGACATGAGGCCCCCACTTAGATTCTTAATGTTTGTTTTGGAAGAGGAATGAGACCAATGATATGCATGCCCCAGCCCATAGCTGATCATAGGCTCATAGCCAAAAAGGCTAAGGGGACCCCACAAACCCAATATTCAAAGATAGAAACACTGGAGAATGATGAATCAATGTCAGATTCTTCATTCTTTTTTTTATTTTTTTTCCCCCTTTCTAGCTGACAATTAATGAGCATGAATGAAAAAGAAGAAAAATTAAAGCTTATGCTGGACCTAGATGTTCAAAGCAAACGACACAACATGACAACTTCGGTTCGATTTAATCCCCGGCGAATTCATCTCATCTCATCTGCTCTTCGTTGGTTCAGCCATCTTTCCAGTTGCGCTTCATCCTTCTTCTCATCGCATGGGTTTAGCTCAAAGGGATTTCTAGGTTTCGTGAAAAAAGGTTGGTTTGAACGTTCTTTTGGTTTTCTAAGTTGGTTTCATGTTTCATGTTGAAAATTGAGAAGTAAATCAGAACTTGAGTTGGTTTGCGTGTTATTTCAGTCCAAGTTTGTACCTTTGTATATATGTGTGTGTTGTTCTGTTTTGATAAATGGGAAGGCAGCTGTGATTGGGTTCCTATTGTTGTAAGATTTTGAAATTTTGACTGGTAAAGGTATTCTCAAGGGAACTGACTTCTTGGACTTTATTTACTCTGTTTGAAATTGGCTTTCTGAAAGGGACGATTTGAATGACTGATGAAACAGAGAATATGATTATATGTCCAGCGAGATCTATTTCTTTTTCTTTCGAGGTTTATATATTTTTTATAACTCAAGTGGGTTTTCTGGTAATGCATCTTCAACCCCTGAATCAAATTGTAAATTATCCAGTAATGTGTTGATTCATGCAGTTGACAAACTCGGGAGCTTCTTGAGGCAATTTCCTCTTTTTCCAAATGCTCAATGTTGCTTTTCATGTTTGGTTTTCAAGTCTATTGGTGTGTCAAAATAGCTAGGTTTAATGTATGCTAGGAATGTCACATTGGTTAAGTGTCAATAAAATCTTTCTTTTTGTTCCCAATTACTGTTTACACCATGTTTGAACCCAAAGTATAAGATGTGATGATAATTGAAATGCCTAGAGACCAATCCTGCTTCTGATATTTTATTTTCAACTGATTTGCTTAGGGAAAAAAAGCATAATTTCATTGCTCACTGTTGATTAAAGGTATATACTTTTTCTTTTGGCGGAGTGAAACCTTCTCTTTAATTTTTTATGAAAGCTAGCTGGGACTATATTTAATTCATAGTCTCTGGCTGCTCATTCTTACCAATAAAGAAATCTATGATCTAACAAACTAAATCACCAACCTCAGGAGCTTAATATCTGTTTGCATCTAAACAAAATAAGATTTACAGCTGATATTTTGAACTATTTGGTGCTTCTGTTCTTCCCTGCATGTGCATGGAATTACAATGAAAATTTCCTTTCATTCTTTTTTTAGCTGTTGAAAGGTTTGATCACGAGGACAAAGGTGATTTTGCAACTTCACCAAAGCATTTTAGGTAAGAACCATATCCTCGAATTGCTCTTTTGGATTGAAATTAACTCTTTTGTGTGATGGTTTACCATATCTAGACTGTTGTTTGTCCTGTTCTATTTTTCAACTTAATTATGTCATAATAGTTATTGCCCTCACTCAAATTTTTCCATTTATATACACTAACACCTGCTATTTTCCAAATTTATGCCAACAGAGTCAAAACCTCCACAGAGGAGGAGAAAGAACGTAAGCCACCTGTACAGCAGAGCTAGCAAGACCTAGATCCCATTCCACCACCTAGTACCATATATATAAACAACTGTCCAAACTCTTTTGAACAATGAGCAACTTTTACATGCTCATATTTTGATGTTTTTATAACTACTTGATCTATTAAAATATGCCCAATATTTTCACATAACAAGCAGCACATAAAACATGTTATTAGTTTATTTTTTCATAACTTAAGCTTGCTAAATTAAGCATAATACCACTGTTTAGATCTCCATGTTTATATAAATAGTACCATTTTCCCTGCATATTTTCACGATTTTATACACATTTCACACGATTTCAAAACCCGCAGCATCGCGCAGGCACCATTGCTAGTGAAAACTATTTTAGTAGCACTAATTGTATGATATTATTAATGGGTTAGGTTTGCTGCTTGTGTATCTCCA